ATATGCTGATCTGTTCTATTCTGGCAGTTCCCAATCTGGAGAACGAACCACACGCTGAAGTGGGAGGGTGTGTGGAGAGAGCTGGGCTGTTTGGCACGCACCGCCTCCTTCGCCGTCAGAGAGGAGAGCGGCCATTCACTCAAATCCTCTCTCTCAGTAAGTCTGTCTGTGAAATACTGACAGATTATTTTAGTGATGCTTGTACTAAATCATTTGAAACATTTGCACAACGTGAATCAGTTGTTTGAATTAATATTAGAATTATGCTTATTCACATGATTCAACACTTTCCTAAATTATATTGACAAATTCTCAGTTTTAAAGTTTTTTTCCGTCTGTTCATTTCAGCACTTTATTCAAAAGTGCTGAAAAGCGCCGATCTTTAATTTTTGTGGCTGATTCCGATATCTTTACAGCCAAATTGACCATTGGCCAATTTATTGGCAGATTTTTATTGGATTTTTTATTTGAAACTCACACCATGTAGGGTAAATGGACACAGGAAACACACTAGCACATTTCTAGTACTTTGTATTAGCTAAATGTGCAACGTTATCAACATTATTTGCTCTTTAACGGGGCAAACTGGCATTTTATATTTTAAAATTATAAATCAGTGTCTTTTCATAGTAACTTCAGAGAATTCTTTACTGATGTTAAACTCCTGAAGCAGAAGTTCTGACCCTGTAAATTTTCCCTCTTCAGCATGCAATGGTCATTGATACACGCAACTCTCCAATCCTCCCCAAGAAAGGTGCCTTACTAAAGATCAATCAGGTGTGTATTTTTACTGATACTCTGCGGGTCGGCTGTATTATGTAAAAAGAAAATTGATTCTGAAAGATTTTGTGCTTGAGTTAAAGCAGTTTTTCTGACATTGCAGGAGTTGGCAGGCTACACAGGCGGAGATGCTAGCTTCCTGAAGGAGGACTTTGAGATTCAACTCAACAAGCGTCTCTTCTGGGACTCGGTGAGAACCAATAGCACAGTTTGAATTTGAGCTCTCTGGCAGTGCATTGTTGGGTTTTAGACTGGCGTGGGGGAAATGTTTAAATGCTGTCTGGTTTTCTCTTCCTTGTAGGTTCTCTCTGCCTCTCTATGGGGTGGTATGCTGCTGGCCATTGGAGACAAACCAACATCCATTTGTGACAGGTTAGTGCAGGGATATTCAACTCTGATCCTGGAGGGCCGGTTTGGTGACTTCCCTGCTCAAAGACACCTGTTTCAGCTCATCTGGTAATTGCCAGGTTTAGTGGGTGTGTCTGAGTAGAGGAATTATCACCAAACTGTGCTGGACTTCAGGACCATTGCTGAATCCTCCAGGGTTAGAGGATATTCATCCAATGCAAGTCATTTTCTTAATGAGAAGCGTGAAAATGGTTCACGTCAAACAAACAGCTGAAGTCACCTGTTAAAGTGACATCATTATCTGCATGTTTATCTTTTAAAATAATTAATAGAAATGAATAGTGCTTCAGGGTAGTAACATTGTTTGAATGTGGACAGGTTTTATCTGGGTGGTCCCACCAGTGTGAGGGGGTTCAGCATGTACAGCATTGGACCACAGAGTGAAGGTGAGAAATCTTCAGGTCTAGTTGTATGCTTTGATTGATTTTGTTGCTTTTCTACGTGAAAATAAGTGAACACATCCTCTACAGAGGACACACTTCTGCACATTTTAATGCATAGTAACTGTTTTTATTTTTCTGAATTTAACATATTAGGGGAAAAAACATAAAATGTTGCCTCTGCACAAGTCATGGGACAGTTTATAATGGGAAATTTTTATGTTAAACACAGCAAATAAATAGACATTACACACTAACATTTGCAGAAAAGTGACGTATTTAATTGTGTTCTCTGTAAAGGATGTGTTCAAATTAAAATAAATTTGGGATCATTAAAACAGACTTGATCTTAAAAACATTACTCACATTCTCAGTTTACAAAATCCACAATATCAGTCAGGATTTTAGCACAAACACATTTTGTCACTTTGTCAGCAGCTGTTTGGTTTCATGTGTGGTTTCTGAGTTGGGAAAAATGACCCTGTTGTCCCACTCTTTATGGCAGGTGATTACCTAGGTGGGGAGGCATATTGGGCTGGTGGGCTCCACCTGTACACCCCTCTGCCCTTCAGGCCAGGCCGAGGAGGCTTTGGGGACCTCTTCAGGACACACTTCTTCCTCAATGCCGGAAACCTGTGCAACCTCAACTACGGTGAGTCCCGGATTTAGAAAAATAACAAAACCACTGGGTAACATTTTACATGTTTGTTTTCCTGCTATGTAAGCTCTAGCTATGCTACTAGAGTGCAGAAGTTTTGTGTTGGATATTTCACTATAGCTGTTGTTCCTGTTTAGGTGAGGGGCCACGAGCCCACCTAAGCAAGCTGGCAGAGTGTATCCGCTGGTCGTATGGAGCAGGGATCGTGCTGCGTCTGGGGAACATTGCTCGCTTGGAGCTCAACTATTGCATTCCCATGGGTGTCCAGAGTGGAGACAGGTACACACTTACCTGTCAGACTTAATGCTTGTCCATTAGGGTGTGTTTAACATAAACTGAGATCCAGTCGAGCAAGTTTGACTTGGAAACGTTCTTCTATTTCAGTGCTGTTATGAAACTGAGCAGTAGTGATGACACAGTCACATGGCCTAACGTCAAGGAATAGTGAAAGACATGAAGCTCAAACATTAATATATGACATATTCTTTTTGTTTTTTTTTATAGGATATGTGATGGAGTGCAGTTTGGAGCAGGCATTCGCTTCCTGTAACCTCCTGAGGCCATTAGCATGTCAACTTTGGACAAATGAAGGCTTTTTACATGTGGATAAAACATGCTCAGACTCCAGTGCGGAGATCAATGCATTATGCTTCAGTAGTTGTGTTGGCAACAGCCAGATGCATTGAAAGGACAGTAGGCTACCAGCAAGAAACATCTGAGATCGATCAAAGCACGATTATCTATGGAAAAAACTACCCATCAGTGCTCTTATGACTTGTCATATTTATTTGTCTAAACAGCAAAAGCTTCAATAAATCTCTTCTCCCTTTATAGTCATGTCATTTGATTTGTATTCCTCTCCTAGTGTTTCCACTCCACTGTCGAGCACAAAAATGTTTATTGTCTGCATAAATTGTGTTTGTCTGCTGCATAATTTCAGCTCCAGGCTGCCTGTCTGCTCCAGTGAAGTGATGGAATATTGAACATCTGCACCTGACCTGCATTTCCACACACCTGCTCACAGCAGTGTTCAGTTCTCAGTTTGAACAGCAGGTGTCTCTTTACTCTCGATTTTGTATTTAGGCTTTCTTTTGTTTCCTTTCCGTGTATGAAGTTAAAGATCGATGAATGTAACATAACTAAAGTGCAAAATGCAGGACGTTATCAAAAATAGAAAGGGTTTAGGTTCCTATGCCTGTTCATTCTGTATTTTAAGAGAGGAAAGGTCTGTGTTTTTCCTCCTCCCTATCTTAATCAACATTTTTCGATATTAATACCCATATCAGCTAAAGAATGAATCAGTTACTCAAAATAAGATTCTCAAGACTGTTTTCGTTTCGTTAGTATTTTCTAGGACATAGTGGCCTTGCTAGGTTGGTCCCTTTGAGGTGTGTGCATAAAACCTGGCCTTTTTTACCCATGCCACATAGGCCAGCTGTCTTAAGATGTAATTCCTGAGGAAGAGTTTTAAATCTTTTCCTTGCACCATTAACATTTCTGAAACTGCTTGATAGGCTAAATCCCCCCACCAGCTCAATTCAGTTCCATTTAATATGCTCATTACAAGAGACATTGTATCATAGCAGCTTTTCAGACCCTATGTTGAGGGCAACAGTGGCAAGAAAACCCCTTAGGAGCATGAGAAAGAAATGCTCCAATTCCAATTCTGGGAACCAAGTCTCCTGATTTTTTTTTTTTTTAAATTTGATTTTCTTCTTCCTTATGTAAGGGTGGTCTCTGACTTTTGCACAGTCCTGTTTGCAAGATGCCAGATAAGAGAACATGTTGGAAATAGAGTTTGGTATAAATGGAAAGCAAGAAAAAAAGGGTTTTCTCTGCTCTGGTACATCTGATTCATTTACCCAACAAATAATCTCTTCCTGAGTCTCTGGAGTATCTAAGTGAAGCTTTTCATTACAATAGTAGGTTAGCTTAGGCCCTGGGTTGATGCTTCAGATGTTTTTCTGACCTTTCCACTCATCATCTGACAATACCATTCACCAGCAGCTCAGCCCCCTAACATAGCACAAAGTTGTTAATTCCTGTTAGTGGCAGGACCATTATGTGCCCACTAGATGTCCTTGTCCCTCAGCAAAAGCCACTTCTTGAGGCCCTCCTGTTCACTTTGCAGTGATTGGATGGACAAAGCCCTGCCTCCAGAACCCACTGCTAATCGTCTTAGGGCCGACAACTCTCTAACTCATCCAATCGTCTGCCTCTCCCCAGCTGTACCCCCTCCCTCCTAGTGCCCCCCTACCCTCCCCCCAGCCTGTGAACTCGCTGTGTGAGGAGAGTGTAATCCAAGTGGATTACGCTGCAAAGCGGCGGATTGAGTGCTTTGGCAGCGAGTCCCTGTAGCTACCTTGTCAAAACTGTGGCTCTTCTGCACGTGGATGCTATGGCTGTTCTTATTTTGCCGTATGTATGAAGCATCACATTCTCACGTGGCTGCCAGACCACAGGAGAATGTAATCACCTGCAAGTCAAAGTGCTTCACCATATTTGGAAAATATGATTTCTTTTTCACTTGTCAATTTTACAAGTCAAAAGATGAACCGGTAGAGATTGGATTATCTGGATTATTGAATTTTTGTCTCTTTTTTTTGGATTCCCTCAATCATCATGAAGAAACAGGATTTTATGAAGAAAAGGATTGAATTGGGCCAAACCTGTCAACCTGCAAACATGCATTTGACCAGTGGACCTGTGAGCTGGAGCCAACAGCGCAGTAGGTGATCGAACTGAGAGAAGTGTCGAATTCGTGGTGAGATCAACATGAACAAGTGTGAATTCTGGGATGAGAGTGAGTCTTTAGCGAAGTTAGTGGAGCTGTGAGTTCCACTGGACTGCTGGTGGATGGCAGCGCTGCAGAGGACACAGATGTGCTTCACTGGGACGGCTGTCGGCACTGTCCGGCACAGGACCGGGCCTACATGGGTCACTCTCTTTGTGCTTTACTCAGGCTGGCTCTGCCTCTTGACCAAGGCACAGATGAAGATCCCACCAGAAACGTAAGATGCACCAGATGCAGTATAATTCATTTGAACCAGAACATGGTGAAGTTGGCCTACAAGAAAAACAAGTGCACACTTTAGTTCAAAAAAGAAAAGTCAGATTTCCTAGAAAAAAAAATGCTAAAATGCAAACGAGGTCGCATTCATTCCTTAAACAATTGTGTGTGTATATGTGTGTGTGTATGTATACATATGTGTGTATGGCATATATATATATATATATATATATATATATATATATATATACACACATGGCATACACACACACACGTGTGTATATATATATATATATATATATATATATATATATTAGTGTAATAACTGACCATTAGTGATTTTTTTTTTATATCGCTTGATGATGCTAAATACAATTTATTTCCTATAAACATTCGGATGCAAATGTTTGGGTGCCCCTGGTCAAACGACAGGTTTTGTTGATGCTCTAAGTGACATAAGTTGTATAAGTTACATTCTCTACAGATTTGAATATTTTAACTGTTTATTTGCTGAATTTAACATAAATGCTGAATTAAAGCATAAATGTACAAAAAATGTCATTTTCTGTCTTTTTTCTGATAAACTCAGCAAATAAATAGAAATAGTTATGTTTGTTCCCTGTAGCGGATGTGTTAATTTTTTTTCCACACAAAATATGTAACTTGACTGGGGGTGTTCAAACTTTTGCACAGGACCACATACCCACAGTATACAAACTCCTCCCAAACTGAAACTCTCCCAGCTGCTACAACAACTGCAAAAGCAATGAGTCTCCAGGATTATTTGGGGTTTAAATTTACACCAGTTCAATTCCATGCAGTCTGGCATTAGAGAATAAGCAGTGGCAGGGAAGCGGTTTGTGCAGTTGTTGGGTTGTCTTTGGTAATTCCCTCATCGAAAGAGTTTCTCTGTAAAATCCATTTCTCATGAGACTCTGACATCATTCAGCAAATGAAGGGGAAAAAAGAGAATCAGGCCATTTGACAGACGGCAGTTTTAGACCCTGCATGCAGCATGCAAAATGCTCTAGGCTTGTGATGTAAGGCAATATTAATCATCAAATGATTATTCATCAGTTGATTATAATTTGTTTATATAAGCTGAGGTGGAACATGACATTATTATCAAATTCAGAGATTCTAGCAGGTTCTGTTTTACATTTGCCATGTTGCATGGCAGGTGTTTTGTTAGCTCCCTGGACTGCATGCTAAACAAATCATGTATGATATCAATGTCTGTGGATGGTGTGGTCCAGTTTCCATCTATGGTGCCATGCTGGATGTTGCCCTGGTTAATATTATGCTGGAGAGCAGCCAGATACTCAAGGCTGCACACACAGATGGTCATATGGTTAGCCACATGGACACAGGAACTTCATGCTAACACTCTTCAGGCCTTCCTTCCTTACTTTAATAATAGTATTCTCATTTATACTCTGAGATTTTGTATACTCTCATTTCATTCCTTAGTACCATATGAGCCTAAGCTGTGGATTTACAGTGATTTGACTGGAGTAAAACACAAGTTTGTGCCCTATCTCTGAAAATAGACCTTTTTTGCTGCTGCATGCTGAATTTGTTTGATTGGTCTAAAAGAAAGACAATAAGCCAAATTGCGATTAAAGATTAAGATGATTCTAGATCATTCTGTTAAATCATATTGTTTTTGCCAGTGTTTTTCTATCCTGGTCGGAGTCTTCTGGGTCTTTGATAGCTTAATGGTGTCACAATCCAATATGCTGCCAAGCCACACAAACTCCTCCCCAGATACCTCCAAAATCCCAGGCGCTGTCAGGTCAGAGGCAGTTCTTGGTTCTCGCTTGGGTCAGCGCTAACTAGCTTACCTGGTCAAGACGTCTGAGTGTTTTCTTTTGAATAGCTGTGACCATGTTTTCCTCATGTCAGCTTGTGTGGTTCCATATCCAGATTGTTTTTGGGAGGGTAAATGATCTTGTAGATGCTGTGTACATCTCTTTGCTGAGTTCACAGAGTTTTATTAGGTACAACTACCTTGTATCTTCAATCACTTATTGACAAAACTATCAGATACACCTACCATACAGGCACACTTTGCAGGTTTACACACTTTGCAGGACTACAGCCCATCTGTTACTGCACAATTTATCAGCCCCCATCACTGATGGAAAGGGACCATCCTAGCACCACTACCAACAAGATATTATCTGAGTAGTGGTTGAGGATGAACGACTAGAGGATGTCATAAATTTCACATGGGAAAAGATCAGCTATATTCTACGTTATGATTAATCAATTAAAATCAGTTAAATTTAAACAATTTAAATTTATGTCCACGATTAATAGGCTTATTAATTTGCAATTTTAATGAGAAACCTAGTATACGCAGGTCATCATAACGCCATGTTTAGCAGTCTGAACATTCTCCACAAGGGGGAGCTACTAACACTCAAGCCCCTTTTAACTTAACTGAGTGCAGAAATATGCTGTTTATCAGACCATAGAAAGAGGAGTCTGACAGGATTCCTGCTTCCAGAGACAGCAGTGATGATGTGAAAGTAAGTTTAAAATGTAAATCTTTAAAATCTTTGTTTAGCCATTTCTTTGTTATTTACTGAACATATAGCCATGTTTCATATTGAATGATATGACTAAGGAAGCTTAGGTTAGCTAATTTAGTCGAATATAATCTGGTTTAGTATCGCTTAACGTTAGTTGGCGTGTTATCTCGGTGTTTAATACCAATTTATATCGAACTGTACATTTAATATCCTTTAAGAATCAGGGAAACCGGTTTGTTTTCTCTCTGTTTAACACTTTCAAGCTAGTCTCAGTGCGTCAAATACACACGAGGCTTAAATTTGCTCCTTATTCGCCAGCTTCATGTTCGAGTTTTCCCGTTCCACCTTAAATAGCGCAGCAGTTGCATTGTCGCGCCTCAGGAAGCCAACTTCACCTGCGCCATTTAAGGTGGACCGGGAAAATTGGAACAGGAAGCCTATTTAAGCTTCAAGTTACTCTGACTATGCGAGTCCTCACGCTGTCTTTCTGCACTGAAAAACAACTGAACTTTTATTTTGCTGCTTTCTTTGTGTGACCGTTGATAATTTCTTTATGTGTCATGCTTTAGTTTTTCAAAGAAATGGACAGGCTCTTGAAATTGTAGCTGTCTAGGGAGAGACAGCTTCACTGAGCTGCAGGGTGTGATGGGGTGAATTTTATAGCCAAGCAGGCTATTAACTTACCTTCATCACTATACGTTGAACATCGTTGGTTGTAGTCAGGTCGTTGCATATCCTTGTTCATTACTAATAAAAAAAAACAAAAAAAAACAAAACTATTTTTATTATTTATTTTCGATATAACAGTTAGATGTCTATCACATTTTCAGTGCCCATTTTTTTCCTTCAGTCTTGTGTTGAAATTGATTCCTTGGTTTTGTCATATTAAAGTATGGAGCCCTGCTGGTGACATGCCATATAAATATAAATAATGCATGGCCACGCCTTATTAACGCTGGGAACAAGAGATCCTAATGCATGGCCACGAATTAGTAAGGCGAGGGAATGGGATCATGCCTTACAAAGTTGTGGCCGCACATTAGGATCTCGTTCCCACACCTTACTAAGTTGTGGCCACACATTATTTTTATTTATACAGGATGTCACCAGCAGGGCTCCGTATTAAAGAGGTGGGACTCACCAGTGAAATAAAATCAACTTGTAATTGTCATTTTCCCTGGTATTATGATGAAACGTTTTGTTAAAAAAAGGGATAAATTGCCGTCTAACTGTTCTGGTTTGACCTCAAACTGGTGGCCAAGGGAAAATCTCAGAATTTGCATCTCTACTTTTTTAAAGGGCCCATGTCCTACATTTCTCTTGCATTTTTCCCCCGAGGTCCCCTAATAACATTTATGTGGTGATAATTTTCCAGCCTTTCTGTATCCCTTAGAACAGGGGTGTGAAATTCAGCCACTAAAAGCGCCATATTAAAAAATCTAAACAAATCCATGGGCCAGCTGTGTTTTTATTTCATTTTTGCTCAACATTTTGCCATGACCCCAGCTGACCATATTCAAAATATGCCAAAACTGCAACACTAAAATAGAAACTAATTACTTGAACTATAAAAAATAATTTTAAATAAGTTAGCGACAGATAACTGCTAAACCTCTTTAAATGTCCCCAGGAGAAAAAACCTGCCTGTTTGCTAGAACTAGACGCCTGACATCTTTTCTTTTTGTGTAACCACTGGCCGAATGATTGTTATTGGAGGAAGGGACTTAGAGTGCATATTATGTTGCAGTGCATGCTGGGGACTGTAGTGCAGATCAGGGTAAAACGAGCTAATAATAATAGGAAATTAAAATAGTTTCGCAGGCCGAATTGGATTAGAATGAAAGAAGCTGTTTTTTTGTCTGTGTGTCTTTAACACTAATATATGCAAAAGACCTCTGTTCTGATTAGCTAACCAGTGTTGCGCCTCATTCAAGCAGTCCTGGCTGAAACACTCCCTATAACTTCAGCGTGAATGAGCAGAGCTAAGCTGCTGTAGAGGATACATGTAAATGTATTCATTTTTGTGACTTACTTTCCACAAGAGACAGTATGGAGTGGGGAGGGAATGGTACGTTTTGAAACGTTTACATACTACACCTGACTGTTTTATTTAAAATTCAGTTTTCCACAATATGGACCGTTTAATTTTTTCAGTTTATTAAATCTCCTTCATTATCTAAAGTGTGGCGCTTGTTTAAAAACAGTAGATGTTAATAAATGCTATTAAAATGAAATACGTACTAACTAATCACAATTCATGGCCAGACCTCAGCCACTAAACAAGTTATCTGAAATGTCATAGAACATGGAAACGTCTCAATGTGCAGGTCAGTGGTAACGAGCAAAAATAGACATGGTTCTGGTCAGACGTGGCCCTCGTTCGTTAAGTGAAATTAATGGCTGGGGATGAGGTGGGGGGCGTAGGGGGAGTGTGGAGTACACAGTGTCACTGTGCCTGATACACTTGCACCAGCTCCACACACGCTGCCCGGACCAACAATATTTGGTCAGCAGATGGAGAAAGTAGAGTGGGCTGATAAACTGTGCAGCTGGCCAACAGTCAGTAACTGTAAACCTACAATGTACACTTATGTGATAGGTGTATCTGATAAAGTGACCCTTGAATATAGGTACAAGGTAGATCTACCTAATAAACTGCCACAGTGTATTTCTATGCAACATTACAGTGCTTGCATCTGTGTTCAAATCAAGACAGCAGGCTGGGAGCCTTAATGTTAATCTTAAATGTTTCTTACTAGATGCTTTACATAGCAGAAAAGCTATGAAGTAAAGTTATAAAGTATAAAATAGCTCAAAGCTAACATGATTTAGCTGAATTTGTACTGTTGCTCCCCCAGTCAGAAAAAGGGACGCGCCACTTTACTCATTTAGTCATGCACACCAAACCCCATGTCTTTTTCTGAAGAGTACTGCGTTTTCAATATTGCGTCTCAATAGTAAACAGAGTTACCTGTGCTGTAGTGAGATCATGACCAAAAGTTGGGCATGCAGATGCATAGAGGGTAGAAATGTCACTGTCCGGATTGGCTCAGATTGTGATGTGGACACAGATTTGGCCTGTTGTCTACACTAACCAGGCATGGTTTTCACTTGAAACAAGTGACAAGTTGAGCTGAGATGACAAACATATTGGAATGCACTGGAACGAAATGGCTAGCAAGATTATATAATCCAAATGTATACGCTGCTAGTGTTTAGCATAATAAGCAGTGTCCATTTCTGCTGAGTCCTGCAGTCTCCCAGACATGGGGAGCACCTCATTCTCTCATTGTAAGAACTTGTTGGGGACCATTTGATGTTGGAGAGCTTTTTAAAACAGCCAGCGTTTGAGCCCCATTCCCTTAGAATACAACTGGGTAATGTTTGTCTGTTCGCAGCAGTTTACCCCTTGAATAGATTCTATAGAATAGATTGAAAACTATCACTACATCTGCAGCAGACATGCAAGTGGTTAAATCAGTTTTCTTAATGTCACAAGAATGAGTGCTTTGATTATGTCCATTGATTTTTTTTTCTCCTCAGGGTTCAAAAATGGGCCAATAGCCTTTCTGAGCAGTTGAATGCAGTTGCTTCAAAATATTCAGGAGCTGCACTACTACAGAAGGTAAACTGATCATCTCTTCAGATCGTCCCATTACATGACCTGCATTTCTAAAACAGCACAAATAGACAGCAAATGTGTTCTGTGTTTTTTTTGTGTCTTACTTTGGACTTTATGTAACAGAACCATGCAGATTTTGTACATGATGAGCTGTTGTCTTTCACTTACATGAATTGAGACCTGAGTGTACAGCTGGGTCCTAACCCCGAAATCCATGAATGCCTTATTTAAAACTATATGCATTCTTTGCCACATTAACTCAGTTCACCTGCTATTACTCTGTTTTGGAGGAACACATGAGCAGGTGTCATGGCAGTCCATCTCTTGATTTAGATTTAACCCTCAGAAGTTAACATAGTCATTGGTAGTAACAAAAGTGTGGAATTTGATGATATTTTTTACTCATAGCTCATTGAAATTTGTTAAAAGTGTGTTTTCTGAACTTTTTTGGATCCAGAAAGAAAAATAAAATTTATATTTTTGCCATGTTTCTGCCTCTTTATGACAACAAAATAAAGAGAAGAAAGTGCAGATTCAAACCCCTTAATACATAAATTAAATTTATTGAAAAAATACTAGTAACTTTTAGTATTGATATCCAATGAGCCAAGGAGCACTTTACTGACCTTTATTGGTATATCTGAAGTAAGTCACCTGAGCACTCTGAAGAGATATATTTTTGAATTGAATGTTTATATTAAAATTTTAAAGCAAACAGCAGCAGTACCTGTAGATTCTAATGGTTAAGAGTGTGAGGGTGAGCTTTATTAGAAATTATACACTCATCCACTTAAAATCTGCCAGTAAAAAAACTGGCAGTCTTTTGTACCTCCAGGCTTAAATGTCATTTAGTTTCAAATTGTTGAGTCCAAGGCCAGTCACCAGACAGTAAGGCTCCTCTTCAAACCGTCCACTCGTAGAAAAGCCTGTGTATTGGTTTAAAATGCCTGTGTCCTAAATCAGTGTAGTACTAGTTCAGCGCTGACTCTGTTCAGTAGGACTTTATGGGTCTTTTAATTGTGGGAGTGGTTTGGGATCCTCTGCTGACTGACACACAGTGGCAACACTAACAGGATCTACCTAATGCTCTGGTTTAGTGCTCAGTGCTCTTTGCTGTAATGCTCATGAGGATTTGGTAACCTAAGCTTGTTTTAGTGCATGATTTCTAAAGTCTACATTTATTTGATAATACTATCATCTTTCAGCCTCCACAATCTCCATCACTCAATAAGATACCACAATACATTAGTATAATAATTTAGGCAACAGTTTTCATGGCCGTTAGTTCCCAATGTAGAATACATGAGCTAGTGTTCTTACAACTTCCACAAACTGGCTAGATAAGATATTTTATGCATGGGTTTAGGCTCAGACGTGCATACATTGGCAGCAAATCATCACTGTCATAACAAAACCTCTTATCTTTGAACTTTAGAGGAGAAAGAAAGGCCAATCTTAACATGAAACAATCCAAAATGACTCCATTTGAAAAGACTTGTGGTCCCCGGACAGTTTAGCTTCAGAAAGCAAAAGTCTGGCCAGGAAGGAAGGCCAGTCTGGACTTTTACTTTCTGAATCTAATCCTGTCCACCTCTGCAAGTTCACTGGAGAGTGTGGGAGATAATGCTGAGGTTTCTGGCTGCTTGTTTAATTCCTCTCCATGATACAATTAATCCACAGATTAAGTCAGTCAGATTGAGAGTATCTGAGATTTCGTCCAGCGCTTTTAGTCTCACTGAGAAAACAGTTGGAACAAAGTCTTTCTACTGACATCCAGCCCTTCTGTTGTGTGTGTATGCATAGCCTCACTTTGGGCAAAATTCCAGGCCCAGGTGAGAAACTTTAATTACCGTATAGGCATGTATGTGACCATATACAAGTAATATGCTCTTGCAAACATGCTTCATCTTAAATTAATAATACTACTGTGGGTCTGTTATTACATAATCACCTAATCATAATTATTTGAGATGATTGCAATAATCTGAGAAGCTGACTGTGATCATTTTCCGCAGTCCATTAAATTTCATGTCATGTTATGCCGCAAAAAGCTAAATGTGAATTGGCTGTGCTGGTTGAGGCTAATATTAATAATATTAATAATAATAATAATAATAAATAAAAATAACAAATAATACATTCATTGAGACTGTACATGGGAGGCCTAACCTCTGACTTGGTGCTCTAACATGTGTAGAGGACTGTGTCAGTGTTTAGTGTTAGCTATGTAGCTAATTGTAGCGTTTGTAGGAGGTATGCTGGCAGCTTTTTGGCTTATATTTTTACTCTCAAGAAATAAAATGTAAGCTTTGCTTGACTCTACACATAATTCTATGTAACTGGACATTTGTCCGAGTGGGTCACTGTGCGCACAACAGTGTAGCTTATCATTTCAGTACTTCAACCAGTGTTAGCTGCTAAGTAAACACAGCTAGGAAGCAGGAGAGCTAATAAGCCAGTTTGGCCACTTTAGGTGTATACTTTCATTGTTGCTTACAATGAACAGGAAAAGACAATTAAATCATTAATCGCAGTTATTTATATGACAATTAATTGTCATATTTTGAAATGTCATGATCGTGTAAGCTCTACTACTATCTAACAGTCTGTTGATTCAACCAGAAACTCAAAGATGTGGAGCCCATTATCCGGATAGAAGATGTCGATGGAACTGCCTTGGTCCAGGAGTTTTCAGATGAAATCGAGAAAATGCTGGGAAGCAAAATGAAGTCTGTTAAGGTGAGTAATTCCTCCTGGGATAGTTGGAGGCCGTCTTATCAAATGTTTTGATAATGGTGTGTTATTTCAATGGATATTTTAAGAATGATGCACTGTTAAGCAAATTCAGGCTGAAGTGATGTATGATGTGTGTGTGTGTATATATATATATATATATATATATATATATATATATATATATGTGTGTGTGTGTGTGTGTGTGTATGTATGTATGTATGTATGTATATGTAAGTAAATGAAAACACAGTAAAATTATCTACACCATCTTATTAATTAATGGAACCCTCCTCATGTGATCTCTCTCCAGCGGCTGGCAGACACAGCAGAGGATGCAGATTTATATCACGAGTTTAATGCAACTTTAGAGGTGAGATCACTGTGTTCTTTATTTTTTTAAACACACATTTTCATATTGCAGTTCAGTGCCATGACTGAATGAACTTGTATCACTAAAGCATTTTAATAACGCATCTTAAACTTTAAATAAAAATATAAATAGGCTTTTATGTACACATATACATATTTTATTTGGTCTCAAATAGTTACCTGGACAAATCAGATTATCGATTATAAAATATTTACGGAAAGTGTCTCATCGCTTGATGTTTTTTTCACTTTTCACAGTTTGACTACTTCAACTCCATGCTTGTAAACACAATGGACGAGGAAGGCAACTACATTGAACTAGGTGGTGAATTTCCTTTGGAAGAAAATGAGCATTTTAACAAACTCTCAGTCAACACGCTGATGAGTGACATTCAAGTCCCAACCAATGTGTACAACAAAGGTGATGCCTCACTAACAGCTGAAACTCATAAAGAAAACTCACTGCTACTATAATTGCTTGATTTATATGTCAGTGAGAAAGACATTACCACTCTGTGTCTCTCTTTCTGAGTTCAGATCCAGACATTCTGAATGGGGTTTACATGTCCGAGGCTCTGAATGACGTCTTCATCAGTAACTTCCAAAAGGACCCCACGCTCACATGGCAGTACTTTGGCAGCTCCACTGGTTTCTTCAGACTCTATCCAGGTACAGTGAGAAAACAACATGGTCCCACTTCTGTTGGTTCTCCGATTTAGCCACTGCTGAACCTTTACCACTGTTTACCAAACCTAATTCATGATAATTACTTTAATGTTGTAGACTTGTTACTGCACTCACCATACATAGCACGAATTACATACATTGAGTTGTCACTATATTAGACACGTTTACATGTACCGACTCTAATTGTCTGTTTTATCAGGTATGCACAGAGGTGGGTTAACTAGTTACATTTAGTCAGCTCTAGTAATTTTCATGGATTTATACATTGCTGAGTATCTTCATATCATAATACTCGTATGTTTACTTTCAGTATATTTGTGAGGAAAGAAATTACAGTTTTCAGGTTTATCATTGTATTTTAAACCAAAAGTGCATTGAAAAGAGAGGAATAGTGGAAACTTCTGTTCCTCTGCTGATAGATACTGGATGTACTAAGAAGTTACACTGCAGTTGGATAAGTTACTCAGTATGTAATTAGTTTTTGACGTAGTAGTTTTGTACTTCTACTCAATCTGATTTTTGAAAAGGTATGTTCACTTTATTTCACAGAAGTAATAAAACTTTTACACCTATCAAATTTTGTACATTTACAGTTACTGACTGTAGTCGTGCTAGAGCTAGTGTTTTTAAACACTGTGTACATTATTAAAAAGAAATTGGAGTGTTCAGTTAAGGACAATGTAATTTTTTTACGTATAAAAAAAATATTTTATAATCTAAATTAAACATAACATAAATATATGATAAAAACATGAAAAAAGGAAGGAAAAATAAAAATGTAGTGCAGAATTTTTTTTTCTAAAAATAAATAATTATAAAAATAACAAAGCTCAGGAAAAATCTAAAAAAATGATTTCCTGTGCTACAATTCTTGGTTTTTACATTTTCATGAGTACTATTTTTATTTTATACTTACTTATTTTTAATGATACTTTGTTATTTTTTAAAAATTATTATCTGTGTTTTTGTTTCTTCTCTTATGCTGACTTTTTTGTGCCTTCCTTTGAGCTGAAAGCACTTTGAGCTGCATTTTAATGTATGAAAGGTGTTATATAAATAAAAGCTATTATTGTTAATATTGTTATATTTAACACATCTTTTTTAAGAGTTCGATATCTTTATTCTATCCCATTAGGCATCAGATGGACTCCAGACTCAAATGGAGTGGTTGCCTTTGACTGTAGGAACAGAAACTGGTGAGAAATTGTTTGCTGATGCTGCACTGTACTTAGCAAAGCCTCGAGAATACTCGGTATTAGGCTGCCCATTCTGTGCCTGCCCAGGGTGGCAATGGCAGATTAGCTGTGTGGATAGCACCCAAAATGTCTGCTGCTTGTAGCGGGTAGGAGCACAGCCAATGAGGCCCTGATCCCACTCAAAGACTTTAATCCTGTCCTTAAGTGGTTAGCAGCTCAATAGCCAGGTCAGTGGGACTCACATGGGCACCATATGTGACTGTTTATACAGCCGTACCTAATATCCATGAAGCTGGTTCAACAAGTCACATTACTCTGCTGGGAGGGTTCTAATGCAGGTCACATGACTCTACTGGAAGGGTTTTAATGCAGGTCACATGACTGTACTGGGATATTTACCTGCACCCTGCAAGCTGTGCTCAAAGATGAATGAACCATTTATGTTTTTTTTCTTTTCTCATTCAGAAATAATTCAATAATTCAGAATCGGAGTAGCGTTTTGCATGAGATGTCACATCGTATGATACATTGTATTGCAGAGCAAGGATGACAGCAGAGATTATATAACGGCCCATTTGCAAACTGTTGTAGTTTACCTTGCCTCAGCTAGTTTACTGCATGAGCGAACTTGCTCAGAAATAGTGTGGCCAAAGTTTTAGAATGTGTGACTGTTGCTGTGCCCAACCGTTGTGAGATTTAGCTCCTCACTGCCTCAGGTACATCCAGGCTGCCACCTCTCCAAAGGACATCATCATAGTGGTGGATGTCAGTGGCAGCATGAAGGGGCTCAAACTGACCATTGCCAAGCACACCATCAACACCATCCTGGACACTCTGGGGGAAAATGACTTCGTCAATATTATTGCAGTAAGAGGCCTTTAGTTGATCCACTTTTCCACAGTTTGAAGGGTGATGATATTTGTGACTACAGCTTTGTAAAGGAACAGTTTGGTAAAAAATCAAATTTAGCCAGTTTTCCAATTACACCAGATGTAGTCGATTGTTTCTTTAATTTACAGCTGGAGCTACAAGTCTAATGTTGCTAATAAAAATAAACACTATAAACACTAGAACTCAATAGTCACCCAAATAGCTGCAGTTGTTTCTGTAAAAACACATCCCCAAAACTTAGACTAGATATTGATCATATCTGTTGTGAGGACCTTTTGATCAGTGATCATAAATGTATTTTTTTGTTTGTCTGTAAATGCTGACCCTTTGTATCTTAAAAGAACATTTGATTCTCGCATTAATACTCTATTCTCAGCACATTTTTGTTGTAATCTTAATATAAATGTTAATGATGTTGAGTTTTTAATGTAGTCTTTTAAGGAGCATTGCTCTGTGCTGGACAGATAGTCTCACTGGATGGATGATGTGGATGATGTCCGCTGCCTGAGACAGAAGTGTCGCAAGGCTGAACGATTTTGGAAAGCCACTGAGCTAGAAGTGCATCACCTATACCTTAAACATTTTCTGTGATTTTCTTTTAATGCATTAGTAAATGAGGCCTGGTCTGCTTATTTTGCTAATTTAATTTCCTCTTCTAAAAGAAATCCCAAGATTTTATTTGTTACTACAAATAATATTGTTTCACCACCCCTCTCTACAATACCATATTTTTCTGTTAATGATTGTAATAAGTTTCTTACTTTTTTTGTCAATAAGGTAATGGCTGTTAGGTCCAGTATTCAGCCTGTGATTCGCCTATCCAACATTAGCCCCTCCACCCGTATCCCCTACTGCTCTGGACTCCTTCCAACCTATCAACTTAGAAGATATGATAGATTTGATTAGGAAAATGAATCCATCTCCTAGCCATCAGAATGTTATTATTGGCCCCGCAGTATCAGTTATTATTAGGTCTTGAGTGTCCCTTCCTATTTTAAGCATGCTGCTATCCAGCCATTAATTAAGAAACCTAATGTAGACCCTGCTGTGCCTAAGAACTATAGGGATTCATCTAAACTCCCATTTTTTCAAAATTCTTAGAGAAGAATGTGGCCAAACAACTCACTGCTGCATTGTAGAGATGTTAGTACTACACAACATTAGCTCTGCATTTGATACAGTAGATCATTATATCCTAATTATTAGGTTACGAGACTGGGTGGGCATATCAGGCACACTTATATCACTGGGAGGAGTTTCACTGTGACTGTTGGAGATTTTGTGTCTGATTCCTCTCCACTATCCTGTGGTGTCCTGCAGGGTTCAGTTTTGAGACCCCTGTTATTCTCTTTTATATCTGCTGCCCTTAGGACAGATTATTAAAAAAAAAGCAAAATTATATATCGCTTATTTGTATATCTAGCTCTACATTTCATTCAAACCTAGTGAGGTTCATTGATTATCAACAAAGTCTTGGCCTTCTTCCTTCTGCTGCCCACTCCAACTTGTTTAATTTAGGGGGTATATTTGATCAATCCTTGTTGTTTGATGCCCATGTTTAGCGGTTGACCAGATCTTGTATTTTCCCCTCAATAGATATTAGTAAACTGAGATCTGTTGTTCCAAATGCAGAGCTAGAGATGCTCTTTTTTCCTCGCTTAGTATGTCTTCCCTTGATCGTCTGCAGGCAATTCAGAATGCTGCTGCAAGACTACTTACTACGTCTGACAGAAGGTCTCCTATGACTCCTTTGCTAATATCTCTTCACTGGCTTCCTGTTGCGTATAGGATCCAGTTTAATTATTACTCTTACCTACAGAGTACTGCACGGTCAAGCTTCACATAATCTACTTTACCCTCATTTATCAACTTGTTCTCTGGGTCAAATAAGTTAAATTTACTGTCTGCTCCACATACCCGCTTAAAGACCCTTGGTGATCGAGAGCACCTAATCTGTGGAAACCTCTGCCCACTCTTTTGAGGCCTGCTGATTCTGTGGAATCTTTTAAAAAGCAGCTAAAGATGCATCTTTTTAAACAGGCATTTGGGTAATCCGCATGCACCAGGTCTGCATTTTATGTGTGTTTTTGTTTGCAGCCATTTATACTGGTATTCTGCTGGCTGGTACTCACAAAGCAGGACTTCTCTTGCCTCAGATTCTTCCATATTTATGACAGTCACTGATTCTAGATCAGCACTCCTACTCCTGAGGTTTGTAATGAATACAGAACCTGATGTAATTTTTATACTTCACAGTAAGTCATAGTGTATCCTAAAACCACATCTTCAAGTCTGCGCAACCTTAAGGAAGACCTGGAAGCAGTTTGAGCGGGTTGAAAGAAGATTTGATGATATATTTTTACAGAAGTTATTTTGAATGTTTGGCTGATTATTGAGTTCTAGTGTGTGTCACTGGTGTTAGCCTCGCCACTCCAGTTCTAAATTAAAGAAGTAAACTTTGGACTTCAAACATGGGGTATATAGAAAATTGAATTTTTCACTGAAAAACTTTAAAGGGCTCATAACATGGAAAAACACTTTTTCCATTGCTTTCTGAAATGTACACGGCTAAAGTCTATGAATGTAGCATACAGTCTATGTATAGGAATTAAACTGCCTATTTTGATTGAATCGTGGTTGTGATGTCACAGTCATGGATGCATTTACATAAAACTACCTATTCATCCTTTAGCAGTTTAGGCTGCCCATTCATTTTGAAGTGATAGAGTTGTTACTGCATACAGTCTGTTGCAGAGTTATTAGAGAAGATGATGTGGGGAAAACTATTTAGCACTGTGCTTTCCTGACTGTCAGGAAGTAGATGTATCAATGCATAGACATGACTGAGGTTTATTGTTTCAGGGATTTCAGGGACAATATAGGGCAGCTAAGATCATTTACGTATATTACGTGTATATGTCTTAAAGGCACAGTAACAGGAAGTCTGTTTAATTTTAATGGGTAAAAAGAGCTTTAAAACTGGTGATGTAAACCTAAAAATGGGCTTCAAAAATGTAGAATATTGGCCCTTAAACAAGGCTTTTTATTAATTCTGGTAGTCCTTATAAGGAGGAACCTTCAGAGAATATTCAGTTATTTTTCACACAGAATTTCAGTATTTTTTAACTTCAGCCTGTCAAACACTTCTTTTTTCTTCAGTACACTGATTACGTCCGCTACGTGGAGCCCTGTTTCAAAGGCACGCTGGTGCAGGCGGACTTGGACAACCGTGAGGTAAATTGATTGTCTGTGAGGTAAATCGATTATCCATGAGATAAATCGATTATCCACGTCGCTCGAGCTCGAGCCACCAAGGCAGTGATTCATAAAGAGGCACAGCAGGAAACCTGAAGCTGAATCTGCAGACTTTTTTTTAACGGGAAAATGCCTCTTTGTTTTGACACTGTCATTTCTTTTAGTTGAAGATAGAGTGCCTTGATCTGATACGCTGGTCTACCTGCTATATTTCAAAGGCCATGTAGGGACATGGTGTGCTAATCTCAGAATTACATGGTCCTCTGATTTGGGACATTCAGTAATCAGGTATTCAGTCAGTGAGCATATTAATAATAGTCACGTCAGTCTACCCAAATAAATCAAGCAGTAGATTAGATTTTCTTTGCGGATTTGAGAGGCACCAGTTAAAGGGGAATGACGTAACTGATTCATTAAGATGCAAACATAGTCATTCAAAGTAATTTGATGTGAAATGATTCATTGTAGAGAAACTTACCAACTCAGATTTTAGACAGGAAACAGGGGTCACAATGTTTACAACTCCAATAGGGAAGTTTGCTGTACAAAAAGATCAATGAACCTATATGTGTTTTAATTTTTTATTTTTTTTGTGAATCTGAAAAATTTAAGTTTTTTTTGTGACCATTCGGCTGTATAATACTCTGCATGTACCTCTCCACCCTGAATGTATTAAAAAAACATTTTGGGCCAAAATCTTATCTCAAAATCATCATAACACAACGTCTCAGACATTAGGCAAATTATTTGTAATCATTAAATATAATCAGTTTCTGTGAGGTAGCTATTAGAGGCATTAAACTTCAGGCATCTGGTTTCTAACAGCATCAGTGTTTGACTCTTGAATGGAGCATTTCACATCAGCATGTGTCGCATCATAATGATTTAATTATGCAGAAATTCTGGAAAAAACTATGGAGTTCCTCTTTAACGTAGAGAAAAAGTATCAAGAAAATTGAAGACAACAGAAAACACAGGTGAACACATTTTTTTGCTAAATATATCCACTACAACTTGAATGATATATTGGAAACAAATAGAAAGAAAAGGTTCATGTATGGACTCTTAACTAACTTAGACTTCAGGCTAAAATCCTTTCGCATGGAATGACTGAATACCTTAATTATTTTTATTTTTCCCATTTGTTACTACTAAAACAATCATAACACAACTGAAACTGAAACAAACACAGCTTGGTACAGTTGTACCAAGCTTGGTACAGTTGTTCATATATAAAATCATATTTTTCATCAAAAAAATCACTTAGTTGCAAAAACTATGTTTCGGTAGTGACAATTCTTAAAGTTACACAATGATTCTCAGACTTTGGGACACATTTAATTCAAAACAATGGGATCACCATGTGGCTATGAAGGACTGAGATGCAGTCTCACTTCCTGCTTGCCTTTTAATGTCACTACCGAAACTTGGTGTTTCAGTAGTGACATTAAAAAATGGGACAGGATTTTTTTTGCATAGTTGTTTTTCAAATTAAATCCATGATAATTCTTCTAAATCTTTCAAAAATGTATTTATTTATAGTTTATCTCAATTAACGCCTTGGGGTTTAATAGATCATAACATAATCCTTGTAAATATTTATGGTCTGAATACATAATTTTTTTTTTTTTTAATGTAAGACTGCAGTTTTAGCTAATTAGTTAGAATGAGATCGACTTGTTTAAGTGTTGGCAACATTGTACTCAAGTGCTTGTGTAATATTTGTGTGTGTGTGTGTGGTTTATCATGTTATATTCTCATTACCATGGTCAATATATGTGATAAGCCTATGTTCAAGTCCACAAGTCTGTCCTGTAAATGGCTTTGCATTATAGTGGCTTTGCCTATGTCTATATACTGGGGAAGGTAAGTGTGCCAGGACCTGCTCAGTGCAAGCAGAGCTTAACGCAGGCTGGCGCAGCTGAAGGTAGAGCTGGTAATGATATTCTGGGTCTTATCTACATCACATCTGCTCGCAGGACTTCCTCAGATCCTCTTAGGAAAGCTCTGGAAGAGAACCGCACAATGAAAGAAACATAACAGTGGTCCAGTGGTCCTTCCTTTAGCCATCAAAAAGTTGATAAAGTCAGAAAGTTGAACACTGAGAGTTCATGTTGTTGCTGTCGGGACAAAACCTCTCATCTCCAAAAAGGTAACTTTAGAGGAGAAGGAAAAACCTTAACTTTGAACAGGAGTTAATGGAACCATGTTTTTTCCCCAAACAATTTTGGGCATTTTTTGTTGGTCCATTTATGTTAAATGTTGATACAATTTAAATAGCAGCAGTATTTTCATATTATGTCAACAAATTAGAAGTAGAGATCCACGGTTTTGTCCCTAACAGTGATGATATGTAGAGTGGTTGTTTCTCTTCAGGGCTTTTGATAGCAGAATAAAGTCTAGCCGGCTGTTTTTTGAAAAAGTGAGTTTTGAATGAGTGAAAACATTTTAAAACACTTGCATTCCCAACACTTGCGTTTCTCCTTCGCCTGTTTTGTCCATCTGCAGCATTTCAAGCTGCTGGTGGAGGAGCTGCAGGTGAAGGGGGAGGGGAAGGTCAAGAAGGCCATGAAGGAGTCCTTCCGGGTGCTGAATGAGGTCAGTATCAAAGTTCCGTTTTAATACAATTTTTAACACCAGCTTCTACTCACTGCTTGGAAATGTGTCACACCATTACTGTTTATCTACAGAATCTAACATACTGGAGGGAAAAAACTCTTGTAGCCTATCAGAAAAAAGTGTCCTACCCAAAAGTATGGTACATTTTATATTTTATGTTTTATTTTAGTTCCAATATGTTCAGCTCAGCAAATAAATATAACTTGTATACTAAAATTTGAAGAAATGTGCCATATTTAAATTTGTTTTCTGTAGAGGATGTGTTAATGTATTTGTACTCATAATTTGACTGGAGGTGTCCAAGCCTTTGCACATGACTGTGTGTTACGCAAGTGCAGTAGAGGACAGTGAGAAGAGGATTTTGCATTTAGAGCCCAGCTAGGTTGGCCTTAATAAGATATATAGCTATTCATGCAAACTTCATAAAGAAAATGTTTAAACATAACATGCTACCTAAAGCCCAGTCTGAACATAGCAAATGTGATTGTTTTGGAAATATTGAAATATTGAAAAATATTTACAGCATTCTGTTGCCATGGTTTATGAACAGCTTTGTCTGCCATTATTTTCCATTTTGAAGAGGGAAATGTGTCAAGTTAAAATGATTTCTGGGCAAGTTCTACTGCTGAAGTGGACACTTGTGTTCACTCGATCCTTCGCTCCTCTGAGTGCTCATCTAATTAACTTTACTTGAGATAATAAAGTAATGGAATGACCTTTAAGATGGCATTGAGGATTCCCCTGAAAAGAAGTGGCAAGTCCAGCTGGACAAGGGCAAGTTAAAAATGGAATGGACGTCAGACTTTTACAATTACATATCCTGACCCATATACATAACTTTGTACTGTAACTTAAATCCATTCATGTCTAAACACGAGATTTAGTTCAACAAATAAATGTGGTATGTTAAGGTCTAAGTGATGAAATATTTATTTATTTATTTATTTATTGAGCCGTTAAAAAACAGCAGTTTCATTTGACCTAGGTTGAATATAGCATCATCAATTACGTGATAAAACACACATCTAAGCACGGAAAAAATGGTGCTTTGATTCAACGGTGTCAAGTGGTTGCAAATGAATAAAATGTATTACATGACAAAGCCTGTAAACTTAAATAAAGCAGTTGTGTTGATGTAGTATATTTTATCAGTGTGTAGTAAATTATGATTGTGATACATTTAAATCATGAACTCATTTTTCAGTGTAGCGTGAGAGCATATGACTTTAATGAGTTAATACAGATTTGTGAACACCATACATAACATTCTTTAAGCTGTATTTCTGCATCTATTGATTTAAAATTAAGATTTAAAAAATTTACTCTCACGCCCTCCCTCTCCCTCTCTCTCTCTTTCTCTCTCTCTCTGTCTCTATCTCACGCACATATGAAGCCCATCTCACTCTCTGTGTGACTCCTTCTCTCCCTCAGGCCACAGCGAATGGACAGGGCAGCCTGTGTAATCAGGCCATCATGCTGATCACAGATGGAGCTATGGAGGACTTCAAGTCTGTGTTTGAGGAGTTCAACTGGCCTGACAAGAAGGTAGTGGCCATTTTGTTCAGTCAACAGACATGCAAGGTCAAGAGGATGCTTGAGTAAAAACATATAAAACATTATCCTCTAAATCCTAAAACCTTCTCTAACTTCTGTAAGTGATTGCTAACTCAGCTCTGACCGGTTCTTACAGTGTAGAACTTTAGAAATGTCAGTATTTCTTCATGAATGGCTCCTAAGCAGTGATCTGAGTCATCATTTTATTCCAAGTGTGAAATGTGTGTGAAGTTTCTGCAAGAATTTCTCTCAGTGTGAAAATTAGTTTTTTCTGACTGCTGAATCTAAATGATTTCATATGTTTCACTGATGTCTTGCATTACTTGTTTGAATTTTAATAGAAATTGTAAGTCACTTCATTCAAACTTTAATTATTATAACACATAGTTAGTGAGGTTAAATTATTATTTTTGACTTAAAATTTATCAAATGCTGGATGAAAGGTTTTATACACACAAACACACACACATACACACACACACACTCATACACACATTCACAAAACCAAAAATAACATAAATGCTGGTGTAGTTAGCAAAATAATAAAAGATTAAAAATACTTCTTTTTCATTAGAAAAGTTACTCATCTGCTGCAACATATGTTTACAAAAGATACAGTTTTAACAAATTAATCAGTTCACATGTATCTCACAGGTGCGGGTCTTTACTTACCTCATCGGCCGAGATATGACCTTCGCAGAAAACGTGAAGTGGATCGCTTGTAACAATAAAGGTGAATTTCACTCTTGTCACATAAAGGTGAATTTTCCTAAGTCTTTGCTAAATGAGTGACTGTGACAGTGTAGAAATGTTATTTTATCGATAACATTTAGTTATGTTATTTAGAATGTGTTATTACTGACTGTTTTTTAATGAGATCTTTTCTCTTTAGTCTTGAATCTCTAAAGTTCTGTATTTTCTAAGCGACGTTATAATTGGACTCCAGGTTACTACACACATATCAACACATTGGCCGACGTGCAAGAGAATGTGATGGAGTATCTTCATGTTTTGAGTCGTCCAATGGTCATCAACCACGACCACGACATCATCTGGACCGAGGCGTACATGGACAGTGTGGTAAGGACAGATGATGTTCTGGCTTTTCAGTAGATCTGATGTTTCAGGAAACAAAGTAAATGGTTTATCACAGAGGGCTGTCACAGTTACTCTGTTAAAATTGATTACTTCATTAAAAACATTTGTTTGCCTTCTAAGCATTGACGCTGTCAACAGGAGATTGACAGTTTGCGGTGATGCTACAGCCATTCATGGCCGAGAATCCAAAAGAGCACAATTGGCTTTGGTCTTACTGGGTGGCCCCATTCCTTAGTGTGATGCTAGCCAGCGCAGGCACCTGTTAGCTGATGTAACAGAATTGGCAGTTAGTGTTCTACTCCAAGTGTTCGACTGTCCAATGATGTTACGTTAGTAGCAGTCTGAAAAGATGCGGTGACTGGCTTCACATGGCTTGTGCTAGCCTTCTAGTGCTGGTGGAATCACACAGGACCAAACTGGGGAGAAAATTGGAAAAAAGCCAAAAGAAACAACAAAAAAAATCTATTAACATACATGTTCTTAATGAATCAGCTTAGTAATCAAGCTTTATGATAAACAGGGTAACCTCAGGTTTTCTCAAGCCATGTTTAACAGGCTGAATATTCTCCTCAAAGGGGAGCTGTTATCACTCAAATCGCTTTTGTGATCACTGAAATGGAGGAAACCCACACCAGCAGAATCTCACGAAGGCACGCGTGTACATATTTACAAATGTCGTGCATACAACGTTAAATTAAACGTTTGCTTTTACAAATTGTGTGCTTGTGATGTGAAAGTGAACTGAACAGCTCAGCAGACAGCTAACAAGCTAACAGACTCCTCCAACAATATTCATTTAAGATTTCCTGTAAAGCTACAACATAAAAAGTGGGATATTCTGCATGATTGTCTGTTACAAACATCAAATGCTTCAAATGTCCATGTTTAATTAAAGCTGGCCTAAATAGTATTAAACTGTGTGTGGGAAGTGAATATACACCACCATTAACTTGGTGTGAACACTACACTGATAATCCCTTATAAATAACACTTATAATGCTTATAAAGTAAACTGCTATATAATAATTGGGGCAGCAGTGATACATTTGTTAAACAACTGACTCAAAGATTAAAGATCACTAAACCTGATGGAGACACATATTTGTAAACCACGTAGTGCTTTTAAAGCCTTTTTAATCTTTTTAGAAAATCTTTGAAGGGCTTTGTATAGTATGTTATTGTTCAGTTAAACCATTTTTATTGTTTGGTGTTAAAAAAGATTACTTGATTAATCATCAAAATAATCGGTAGATTGTTCAATTACTAATATAATTGACAGTGACAGACCACTATCACACGGACAACTTGCAATGATGAAGAAGGATATTGCGCTTTTGTTCAACACATTTGGGAGCTTTATAGAACTGTGTACTTTTGATCTGCGCTAAATTTAGCTCTGCAACTGGATGTATCTGTTTTTACCATGTATAACTACAAGTTAACCTAAAATTCAGAAGCTCCACAGGACCCAGAATGCTCAGGATTATTGCATGAATATGTAATATTCATACTCCTACTTGCTCTTACTTTCTCTTGCTGGAGTGGTGTGTGTGTGTGTGTGTGTGTGTGTGTGTGTGTGTATGTGTGTGTGTGTGCTCTGATGTGTGCTCTGATAATCCTCATTTCATGCTTGTGTTGACGCATTTTTCTCCCCATCCTTTTTATCTGCTGTCTTTTTTCTCGTCCAGCTCCCCAACACTAAAGAGGTAAAGGGGTTTAGAACAGTAGAGCCCTAAACAGCTGCATGAGTCTTTCCAAAGTGCCACTACACTCCAATTACTTTGTAGTGTGCTTTGGATTTGTTTTAGCCTGGCCCATAGTCTGTGTAACAAATCAGACATAGCTGATAGTCTTTGTAGAGAAGTCTGGTGTAGTGAGAAGGGAAACTGCTGTTTCGCAATGCCCTCTACTGTTGACTGTGGATATTTGCTTGAGTTTGCTTGTAAAATCTGCTTTTGTCTGCAGTAGCCCAGTGTAGGAGGTGGATTTGGCTAATCCTTTCTAATTTCTCCCATAGCTCTTTAACAGCATGGCTCAGAGTCTGCTGTTGATGACCACAGTGGCAATGCCCGTCTTCAGCAAAAAGAAAGAGACGCTGTCTCACGGCATTCTGCTGGGAGTGGTGGGGACCGATGTTCCTCTATTGGAGGTCATGATGCTGGCCCCTCGATACAAGGTACAGGATTAAAGGAATAGTTTGCAGAAAAATCTAATTCACACAATTTTCTCCTTACCCCAGATCAGCTGAATTTCGCTTCTGATGTTTGCTTCTGTAGTTTTCCACTGGGCCTCTGAGGCTAATGTAGGTAACATGTAATAGAATCTTCTAGTTCATCAATTAGCATTGCACAAACTGCATGCCTAAATTATTGCATGCCTCAAACCACACTGAGTTGTTAGATCTGGTTATGTGGTTTCTGACACTATTCTGGCACTGTAAGACCTACGGTTATGTGTAAAAATGGACAAAAGTAAAAGTTGTGTAGCTAAAAAGAAAAGTAGAACCTTTCATTTTTTATCTGTAAGCTTCTTTTACTAGTTAGCTACATCAGCCTCATAACCTGCAGTGCTAGAACTAAAGAAGCAACCTCTGGACACCAAATATGTCTTGGCTAATTGACCATGTTTGGGGTAAGAGGAAAATTGTATCAGCTAAATCAAGATTCTTTTTTGTGGAGCTATTACTTTCAAAACACCTTGCTAGTGTAAGTATGAATAGTACAACAGTAACAACAGCGGTGCTAATAGAGTGTGTCTCCTTTAGCTTGGAGCTCATGGTTATGCCTTCCTCATCACGAACAATGGCTACATTCTTGCACACCCCGATTTAAGGCCTCTAGTAAGTACATCTGACGTCTGTCTGTGTTTGTCCACAATTAACTGAACATCTTTTTCTCTTTTGTTAAAACCTTCTAGGCATCATGTTCATTCTTCTTTGTAGACTTAATTATAATGCTTGTTGTTTGTTTGTCTCTCATGTTTTGTCATAGTATAAAGATGGAAAGAAACTGAAACCCAAACCAAACTACAACAGTGTGGATCTATCTGAGGCAGAATGGGAAGACACTGAAGAGATAGTCAGTCTGACTCATACATTTACCTATATGCTTGTATGTACAGTACCAGCAGAAGGTTTAACATCCCACTTCAGAAAAGTTCTGATTTTAAAAATTATCTCATTTTAGAATAAAAATGAAGACATCAAAACGACAACCTTGTTTACAAATAAGTTTCAATGCTGTGAAAAATCTAAGTAAAAACAGAATGCAATGATGTGCAAATCATTTAAACCCTTTATGTAATTGAAATAATACAATGGCAACATATCAAATGTTGAAAAATATGTCCCTTTTTGAACTTGATGCCTGTAAGATGTTTCATACAAATTGGGATGGGGCAACAAAAGTCTGGGAAAGTTGTGCAATGCTAAAAAAAAACACCTGCTGAAACATCTCACAACTAATTAGGTTAATTGGCAACAGGTCAGGAACATGATTGGGTATAAAAAGAGTATCCCAGAGAGGCTGAGTCTTTCAGAAGTAAGATGGGGAGGGGTTCATCACTCTGTGAAAGACTGCACAGGCAAAAATCAGTGCAAAAATTGAAGAATGACGTTTCTCAACGTAAAATAGCAAAGAATGTGTGTATTTCCTCATCTATACATAATATCATTAAAAGATTCAGAGAATCCAGAGAAATCTCTGTATGCAAGGGACAAGGCTAAAAACCAATATTGGATGGCCATAATCTTTGGGCACTCATGCAGCACTGTATTAAAAACAGAGATGATTCTGTAGTGGAGAATCATGAGCCCAGGAACACTTCAGAAAATCACTGTCAATACCACATATAAACAGGATCCAGAAATACAGCTGCCTCCTTCTCTGGGCCCGAGCTCATTTAAGATGGACTAAGGCGAAGTGGAAAAGTGTCCTGTTGTCCAGCGAATCAACATTTAAAATTCTTTTTGGAAATCAAGGATGATACATCCTCTGGGTTGAAGAGGAGAGGAACCATCTGGATTGTTATCAGTGCACAGATCAAAAGCCAGCATCCGTGATGGTAAGCATTAGTGTGCATGGAATGCGTGACCGGCACATCTATGAAGGCACCATTATTGCTGAACGATATATATAGCTTCTGGAGCAACATATGCTGCTATCCAGATGACATCTTTTTCAGGGAAGGCCTTGTTTATTTCAGCAAAACAATGGCAGTCCGTATTCTGAAAGTATTACAGCAGCATGGCTCTGTAGTAAAAGAGCAGCTGAAATCTTTTAGCAAGAGTGTTGTTAATAGAAGAGATGATGCAGCACAGTGGTAAACATGTCCCTGTCCCAACTTTTTTCAAATGTGTTGCTGGCATCAAATTCAAAATGGGCATACATGTTTCAAAAAACTAATAAAACTTCTCAGATTCAACATTTGATACATTGTCGATTTTCAATTAAATATAGGGTTTAAATGATCTGGCACATCGTTGCATTCTGTTTTTACTTACATTTTTCACAGCATCGAAACTTATTTGTAAACTGGGTTGTAATAACAAATATGAAATTATGCAGTGTCTCAAAGATGTTAAACAATCAAAACTGTCTTCTGTTCTAGGCTGTTTTGGACATCACTTCCCCCTTTGTTATGTATTGTTGCTGTCCAAGGCAGAACTAGTATCTCAAATAGTAACTTTACAGGAGAGAGAAAAAACACTCTTTACTTTTAATGTAAGTTGATGTAAAGAGATTTTATTCCAAATGATTCTGCAGCCTTTCTATTGGTTTATTCATCATGACATTTTCACACAATCTAAAGGACAGCTGCTGTGCTTAAATGATATAGAAAAATAAAAATTGAAAAAAATGGTGACAGATTTTTTGGACAGCAACTATATGACATACGCTTATTTAAATTACAATTTAAACAATTTAAACAATTAAAACAGAGTATAAGCTTATGAATCATAACGTCTTTATGAAAAATATACATTCAGTCAGATATATCCGGATTTCCTCTGGTACTGTACATACACAAGAAACAATGAGTCTTATTGAGTCTTGCGCACATACAAACATTCTCACAAGTACGTTTCTCTTTCAAACAGTTGAGAACTGCCATGGTGAAAGGAGAGACAGGTACCCTGACTTTGGATGTAAAGACAACTGTAGACAAAGGGGTGAGTCAATGTTTATAATCTGAGACCTTTTAAAAAGGTTTTGTATAATGTGTTTTTTCCATTTGCATCACACATACTCGACCAGTATAACCCTACTGACGGGTCGACATTGCCTGTTTCCTGGTGAAGGGTCTGTGGCCCAAGTGACCACTTGCCTTGAGGGGTTTTTTTTTGCATTCTTCTTCCGTTTTGGCAAACCTGTTTGGTCAGACATGGAAATAAATGCATCAAATTAGATTTTGGCAAAAAAAAATTTTTAATTGTGACCACTGCAGTAGCTGATGTGATTCTGTGGTGACTGTGGTGGTCTCCTTAAAATAAGGTGTTAAATAAGCTGGCATTATCACTGTAGAAGCTAAACAGTACTTAATGACATAACCTAGAATGTCAGGGTGGACCCATGGTCATTACAACGAAAATGCTCTGATTAATTTAAAGGTTGTTATAAATATTTCCTTTTTCAAAGCAACACCAGTCTGTTTTTTGGTACATTGCTATATGCTTGTTTATATGTATATACTTGTACACTGGTTCGGTGGCCTGAGAGGCCAGTGCAAATTTGAATAATATACTGTCTATCGTGACTTTAGAAAGTTTTCTTCAAGAATTCTGACTGTATTTATTACCTTTCTTTTTACAGAAAAGACCCTTGTTCCTAAAAAATGATTATTTCTACACAACCATCAATGACACGCCATTTAGGTAAGATATTCAGCTCTCTTTTCCTTTCCTGTATATCTCTAGTTTCCAATATATAAGCAAAATCATGTGCATCATTTATATACCTTCAAAACATTATCAATGTGCATGCGTATGTGGTTTCAGTTTTGGGATGGTGCTGACTCGTGGCCATGGAGAGTACATCTTCTTTGGAAATGTGTCTGTTGAAGAGGGTAGGTTTATCATTTCTGACATAAAAAGATATTGGAGATTAATGTCCAAAATTTAACCCTTCTGTGGTGTTTGGGTTTGTGGGACCCATTTTCAATGTTCACCAAAAGAAAAAATGATGTGATTTATTATTATTTCAACGTCAGATTTCTTGCTCATTTTCTGTGAAGAACATATGAAATAACACATTTTCAGTGTCTTCACACTGTTCACCCCCCACACATTTATATTACACACGTGGTGTTGGGTGAACCCGCAGGGAATAAAAGTGTGGAGGTGCTGTGTCCTTCACTCTGTTCTCATCCTACATGGCCTGCTTTTAGTGCGTGTGTGTCTGTGTGTGTATGTGTTTGTATATGTGTGTGTGTGTGTGTGTGAGGGTGGACAACATGGACAGGCTGCTGACTGGCTACAGCTGCTAAAGGTGAACCCTACGCTGGACACTTGTGATAATTTAAACATCTGGTACTTTTACATAAATTGTTATGGCCGTGTTGGTTAAAAAAAAACAAGAATGTGATAGGTCCAAAAGACCACTGAGTAACAAACACAACAACACCACACAAGGGTTAAATGTTTACCAGACTGAGCTCTTGAACATTTTAGTAAGGTAGCTGGTTTTCTTCATCATCTGAGCAGTAAAGACTTTTGATTGATATTGATGAGATGACGTTTGTTCTTCTCTGCAGGCCTTCACGACCTCCAGCAGCCAGACCTTACCATCGCTGATGGGTGGTGAGTACAACTGAAATATATGTATATATCACTGTTGTCAGAAGAAAATCTTTTATCTCCATTTTTGATGTTTTTCAGTTTTTGACATAATTTGAAAATATCTGTTACCCTCTACATTGTGTGTAAATTTCATGATGAATGGACTAAAAGAAATGACCCAAAATGACTTGGAAAAAAGTCTGGTTCCATTAAGTTACATTAAAAAGAAAGTATGCTTTTTCCTTCTCCTGTAAAGTTACCACTTTGGAGATACGAGGTTTTCTTCCGACAACAGCGATATATATATTTATATATGTATTTAAAGCAGCCAACCAGCATATACTTATCTTCTTTACTCCTGTGAAAAAGCTTCCCAGGTGGTTCCTCTCACAGAACTATGTGAAGGCAGGCCGTGGGGGAGGCTTCTCTGAAGAATCTTACATATAAGACTGATAACAGTTACAGTCTTGAGGACTATTCTAAGTGTGGAGAGTAGTGAAAATAAGGAAAATCTTTCTATAAGCAGATCCACAGTTTTGACTGGTATTACATTTGTTCTGTGTTTGTGTTTTGCTGTGGTTTGTATTTACAGCATATAGAGGCTGTATACTACTACACTGGTACTGAACAAATGTGATACAAAATGTGATCTTGCATCTTGTGAATCTTAACCTGCGAAAGTTTTTGGTTAATATAAACTTTAATATAGAAAGATCTGTGGCTCTTTTTTGCTAGGACCTACTGTGAAACCGATATTGACCCCCATCATCGTAAACTCACACAGCTCCAGGCTGTAGTACGGTACCTGACCGGCAAAGAGCCCGATCTGGAGTGTGAGTACTACACATCACTTTATAGTCGTAGGCAAAAGCTTGGATGCCCTGGTCAAATGATGTTTTGTTGTTGTTTTTTTTTTTGTTTTTTTTTTGGTGACTTGCAGGTAAAAATGTCATGTTTATCTTTGTCCCCTGTGAAGGATGTGTTTATGATTATTTTCACTTTGAAATTCAACAAAACATGTAATTAATGAAGGGTTTTCAAGGTTTTGCATGCAACTGTAGCATGGCCAGCCTTTTCCCTTCAGTTTGATGTATACCATTATGTAAAATACTTTTCGGCAGGTGATGAGATTCTGCTGCAGCAAACTCTGTTTGACGCCGTGGTAACAGCTCCTCTGGAGGCCTACTGGACAGCACTGATGCTGACCGGTGATGGGTGAGAGCCTTGCAAATGCTGCAAAAATGAAGGGACAGTTGACTAAACATATCTTGGGAATAATGATATATTTTATATACAATATACTTTATCCCCTTTTGTGATATCAGCAAACCTTCCAGGTGCTTAAACCAGCAAAAAGAGTTTCAATATGTGCTTTTAACGGTAGTTTGGAGAAGAAAACTGTCAAATCATTATTTAGGCGAAATCTGCTCTTCATACCAAGGAAGACACTTTGATGAACATGAAACTGAGTGTTACAAAATATACTCAAAGAATTAGCAAATAGCTGTACGATAATAACAAGTTTGCAGGTCTATTTTATTGCTATGTTGAAAAGTGAAAATCAGACATTACATGAAGATTACTAAAGAACAAAACGTTTCCCAAAACTTTGACAGACAGCATTACACTTGCATTTCTGTGGCTTTGTTCTTACTATGGTCAGAGGCTTTCTACTGAAGCTAGGGGTCTCAGCTCTCTTTTATTCCCTTTCTCACCTACTTGTATCCTGCAGTGTGGAGGATGGGATGGAGACGGCCTTCCTGGGGACCCGCTCGGGCCTCATGCGAGTCACCAGATATGCTGGCATTGAGAAGCGAAAGGGAAGGTGAGTAAGCCTCAAGGTGGTAATGTTCATTGTCTTTGTACAACCCCGTTTCCAAAAACCAGACATTTTGGACATGGGACATTTTGAATTACAAAATGTAAATAAAACCAGAATGCAATGATGTGCAAATCATCTAAACCCAATATTCAATTAATTTGTTTTTTTTTTTAAATATATGCCCATTTTGAATTTGATTCCAGCAACACATTTAAAAAAAAGTTTGGGGACAGGAGCACTTTTAGCACTGTGTTGCCTCACCTCTTCTTTTAACAACACTCAGCACACAGCATTTGGGAACTGAGGAGACAAACTATGAAAACAATGACATTTCTCAGTTTTAACATTTGATACGTTGTCTTTGCACTATTTTCAGTTAAACATGGGGTTTAAATGATTTGCACATTATTACATTCTGTTTTTATCTATATTTTGCACAGCGTCCCAACTTTTTTGGAAACTGTAAATTGACATCAGTACTGTTCACCAATCATAATTTCACTTTCTCTGATATTCAGATAAAGCATGCTTTTGCTTCTCTATGAAATAGCTCAGATTTATATTACCTTCATGAGATCACTTTAACACTATAACCTACAGGAAGTTCTTGACCAAGGCAGACAAGGAGAACCTTTTCACTGTGGATCACTTCCCCATCTGGTACCGTTTGGCAGCTGAAAACAAACCGGGACAGTTCTTGTACTATGTACCTGATGACGACATCAACAAAGGTAAACATTACTATGATGGTGTATTTAGTTTGATTCAGCAATGACCTTCAAAATGGTAGTTTGGACAAAACTGATTGAATATCTTAAAGATATTTCAATCTAACAACTCATGCTTAAATGTTTGACATTTGTTTCTAAGACAAGCATAAATTGTAAAATCGATGAAGTTTCACCAGACATTTTTCAGACACCGTTGAGCAGATGTAGTATTGTAGGTTTTTTAGCCTGGGATTTAAAGCCTTATTTGATGTTTGTACAGCTGTGTGTTATTTTCTGATCATCTTCACAGCTCATATTAAGGCTTGCAGTGCTATTCTATGCTGTCTAGAGTACCAAAGGTCTACAGCTCAGCCCAAAAAAAAAATCTAGTAGAAACCAAAGACATAATGCCCGTTAAGACTGTCAAAAATATAGGATTCCAGAATCACTAATACATTATTGCAAGAAATTACATGTAAGTAGCTAGCGAAGATTCTTTCTCTGGATAGACAAAGCACTTTTTGTAAGTCGCTCTGGATAAGAACGTCTGCTAAATGATGTAAATGTAAATGTAAATGTAAGTACAGTGGATTGCAAAGGTTTGAATACCACTAGATCAAATTACATGTTTTGTTGATTTTCTAAATAAAAAAAGTTACATCCTCTACATAAAATATAATATGCTGCGTAACTTGTATGTTAACGGCTGTGCATGTATTATCCTTTTCTTAATAAATATTGTAAATATTGTGATAATATTTAGCTTACCTTGTGTCACAGTTTACAGTATTATTACAATTATCGTAATATATTGGCAGATATCGAGTGCAATTGGCTTATTACAAAGTTCTACATGTTATTTCATAGTTTTGATGCCTTCAGTATTAATCTACAATGTGGAAAAATGGTGAAAATTAAGAATAAACTGTGAGTGTGTGTCCAACCTTTTAACTGGTTCAGTAAAAAATAAAACTTAGGTAAATGACATTCACAAAGCTTTTACTTGAGACATTTCAACTTGATTTAACCAATACATTGAAATTTGAAGTGAAGCAAAGTGTGTAAAGGCACTGGAGATCAGTAGACTTGAAGCAGATGACTAAAGTGACCTCTCTCCCACAGGCAAGGACACGGTCATAGCAGTGACTTCTGTGACCGTGACTGAAGGGAAGAGGACGGCAGTGGCTGGAGGTACGGAAGGACTCCATTTCTTTGGAAATTACTGAGGGTGCTACATGGCAATATAGGCTACGATACAGTATGCTTGAATATATCTTTAATGTTAGACATGTTCTTTCATATAAATATAATGTACATACAATTTTACTTTTTAATGTACATACAAAGTATGAAGGACTAGATTCATATTTTAAAGAACTGACACAAAGAAATAATGTTCATATTTTGTTCAGACAGTAACATCTCCACATGGACAGACTGAGATGGTAAAATGAGGGAGATGAACAGTATTTTGTGATACCAGGGAAGGAAATTAATCTTTTTGATATTTTGCACAGTTCTGGGTAAAGGGGTAGAGGTTAAAGGGTGACTTATGTTTCCTGCAAACCCTGTAAAAGCTCTGCTTAGTGCATATGTGTATAAGCTTCTGAAAAGATTATTGAGTTCTTTGGGCTGCAGTTTTGCTCTGTGGCACTGTGAAGTTTAGCAGAGTGAGTACAGCAGTACGCTGTGTCTTGTCAATCTTCAGTAGTTATTTAATACCCTTGAACTATAATGCAGTATATCTAGGCTACACATTACCTGAGACAAAACACTTTTACATTAGCATCATTTAATTTATTGCCATCGTAAGAGTCATGGTACAGTTGTCTTAAACACGTGGCCACCCCAGTAAAGGGCCCCTACATTCTTCTTACATTTTTTCACATTTTTCTTTATTTTGTTTTATTTTTCTTTCTGAAATCTGCTTTTTGTATGACCATATTTCCAACTCCTCTTTATTCCTTAAAGGGCCCATATCATTAAAAAATAAATACAACTTAAATTCCTTTGCTTTTTTGAAATAAAGAAGTCGTGAACATTGTCAAAATGTACACTCGTCCCCCACATACAGACCATATATGGAAATTAAGTTGCAAAAACAGCCTGTTTTGAATACATTGTTTTTGGAATGTCACTTTTACATATATCCACCTATTCAGCCTAGAGCATTTTAGCCTCACCCATTCATGCTGAAGTTATAAGGAGTGTTTCAGCTCTGAGTGCTTTTTGAATGAGCCACAATACAGAACAGCCAAGGCAAAGTTCTTTCGCCTTATATCAGTTTTAAAGGCCCAGTAACAAAATAGCCTCTTTAATTCTAATAGATAAAGAGAGGCTGAAAAATAATCATATAAAAAATCTCTGTTTCAGTAGACAGTTCAGTTTCGGTATACTTCAAACAAAAACAGTGTTTGAAGCCAAATGATGTCTTTTTGGCCAAAATGACAAGGTGGTTGGAGTTTGCATGGTGCGATTTCTGCTGCTTGCTGAATAGAACTCGTAATCACCATCAACTCAGTCTGAGACCTCCCCTGACTTTGATTGGTTGACTTTACAATACTTCAGCCACTCCTTTTTGGATGTCTATCATTTGGAAGGCTGCAATAATACATATGCTCCCTTCTAAACTGCTCTCTGCCATGTGAACACTTTTTATTACTTTAGCATGAATGCGTAGGCAAAACTGCTGAGGCCTGAATTGGAAGTCATACGTAAATGTTTTAATGGGTATGACATCACAACCATGATGAATTCAAAATAGACTGTTTTTTTTTTCACTGTTCAGTTTCTGTACTTGGACAATGTGGACCAAGTTTTTAAAACTCAGTATGTCAAAATTTTATTTTTAAAAAAGAAAGAAAATTTGGTTTCCTTGAAATGGACCCTTTAAAGTATAATATCTCCCTAAGACACAGATAAGACTGACATTACTCAATTGGCATGTTGGTCCATAATCATTCACAGCTGTCCCAAGTCTGCACAAGTGCATGTCTCAAACGCAGACCTCTGGTGGAAACGCTATCCACTCTGTGCACTCTGGAGCCTTTTCTGGAGCCTCGTCTGGCGCCGTCTCTTCCTCTCCTGGCTCCGCCTCCCTCTCTTCCATCAGCGGCTGCTGCTGAAGCTGCAGACTCTTATCCAGTAGCTCCTGCTGCTGATGGGCTGCTAGCATGGCGTAGATGCAGCCATAAGTGGCAGCCACCACCATCATCACACACACTATCCCACACACCACCCCAGCCACCACCACGGTGACAGGTGCTCTGCGAACGCTGATGGGTCTGTGGCGCTGCCGGAAACAATCTGCTGCCGGGTCAGCGGAGACCAGGAAACCCTCAGCTGTCCGGAAACAGGCGGAAGGATGCCTGGTGTCTGAGAAAGGAGGCTGGGAGCAGTGTCTGAACATCTCCATTGGAACACGGCGGAGATCTGTACCTTGTAGAATGGGAGGGAGAGAGCACTGTATGGAATCCACATGGCCACCTAGAAAGAAAAAGAGGAAGAGAGAAAATAATAGTGATAATCAGAAAAAATCTTAGGCTACCACACAAACCTAAACTACTCACTGAGTCCAGATTACTTAGCCCTAACTCAGACCTGTCAAAAACAATAAAAGTGAGCCATGTATTTATGCAAATCTTTCTATATCTCTATCTATTATATATGCCTGTATATCTATATATCCGCCCTGTCAGTAAAAGTGATAGTTTTAGAAAAATCTACAAACTATATACATGATTTTCCTTCCCCCGTATGTCAGAATTTGCTTCTTTAATTCTGCCCTGGAGCTAGAAGGTTAATGTACCTAACAAGTAAAGGGAGCTTTTGACCACCAAGTTATCATCTTGAAAACAGCAATTGTTTGAAAAGATCTTACTAAATTTTTGATAGTTAGGCCTTTCCTATCACACAATGCTACCAAGCTGGGAGGGTGAGGGCTAGCACATGCTTCCTCCAGACAGTCGTCATCAACATCATTGGATAGCTCAACGCATCTAGAATACTAGAGGAATACAGTAACTCCCCCCAACCACCCCACCCCATAACCTCCCAGAATTGTGCTGAGTGATAGGAGGATGATCATCCTACCCCCTTAGAAAGAGAAAGGCCAATTATGCTGTTGTGGATTGTCAGTCACTGATAGTGCAGGTGCTTTGATGGTTGTGCCTCTCAGGAACCTCCCAAACTGCTAATTTTGTCACTTTTTTGTTCTTTTTTAAGGCAGTATGTCATACAGTGTCTGAAACCACATATGCAAGACTAGGGCTGAAAGATTAGTTTGGAAAAAGTTAATGTAAAAATGAATTGTGATTGTTTTAAAAAATACATTTAGATGTTTCCCTAAATTGTTCAACACTACCCAAATCTATTTGAGATCACATAACAGCTTGACACAGTTTGTAGCAAATGTATTATGATTTGAGCTTGCAGTTTGTAGGATGTCAAACCTGTGGCTATAAGCTTCCATTATTTGTTCGCAATATTAGCTCTGTAGCTCCAGTGCAAAACAATGGAACGTTTGTGGACAACAGTGAAGTTACTGGCTGGTTGACTGTATTTGGGGTGAGGGGAAAACTATGTAAATGTCATAAGTCCTCTCTCACCTCTGTATAGCATCCATTCCAACCAGTGTCTGAGTGGTATTATACTGCAGCTGCAATTCCAGTGGTTTCCCTCCAGCTGAAGGTGCTGTAAAGCAGTGAGGGGCTCCACCACTGATCTCTGCAGGGTCAACAGCTTGTTCCCAGCCAGTGAGAGCCATGCTAGGGCCTGTGGCCCATCCAGGAGACCTGGGGGCAGGGTGGCCAGGCTGTTGAAGGAAAGATCCAAGTGCTGGAGTTCAGTCAGGCTCTGAAACTGTTTTGGGCTCAGCGTCTTTAACCTGTTGTCTCTTAAAACCAGCTCTCGGAGGCTGATGAGGTCAGAGAAGAGATCTGCTGGAAGGTTCACTAGGAAGTTGCTGGAAAGGTCTAGAAGCTCAAGGCTACTCATTTGGGAGAAGGTGGAAGGGTGGAATGTGAGCAGGTGGTTTCTGGATAGATCTAGTTGCAACAGCCTGCTGAGGTTGGAGAAGGATCCTGGCTCCATCACTGTTATGTTGTTTCCAGAGAGGGTGAGTGAAGTGAGGTTAGATGGAAGCTGGTTTAGAATAGAGTCGATGGATATCAGGTCGTCAAGGCTGCTGCAGTTGGAGTTGGTGCTGTTGCAGGTACAGGTGGATGGGCAGCCTGCTGACGGTCTGGACAAGCTCAGAACAGTCAACAGTGCTGCATGAACTTCAGGAAAGAGAATTTATTTAGAGAAATGTAATTTCTCAAAATGTTAAAACATCTAGCAGTGAATGAGACCTAGTAACAGCATTCCTCTACATTCCATGTGTTTTTGTGATTGTGGCTGGGTATCAAAATTCAATACTTTTATAATCCTGACCAAATTACTAATGGTAATTTTCAAACAATTACCAAAACAAGTATTGAAAAAATTCTGTATTATGCAGTAACAAATTTCAGTATCTCAGTAATCAGTTTTAGCAGCAAATGTGACCCAAACATGATTGTTCCCAAATCTGCACTGCTGATTGGCTGTCTAAATTGCACCCATTTCTAATTTTAAAGAAGATATTGAAAAAAAGTACGGCTCAGGAACTGACATTGAATGCAAGGTACTGGTATTAAGATTTTTCCGATATGTTACACTACTTGTATTAATTTTCACTTTAATTAACAGAACATGACATTTGAATCTTTTGCATGCAACTATATATTTACCATGAATGTTCATCCTGGTCCTCACAGCCCACTTACACAGCATGATAATGATTTGACCCATGGTCCAGCACTTTGTTGAAGCCATCATGAAGGTTGCTGCAAGAAATGAGATTGACTTTGAGTTTATTTGTATTTTTATTAAATGCTGGTGGTCTCTTTAAGGAAAGAATGCTGAATGAGTATCAGGGTGTGAATTAAAATTGGTGGTCATTTAACTGATAGTGCATTTCTGCAACATATAGCTTGGAATTGAGGCCTTTAGAAAGACTAAGGAGAAAAAAAGTAGGTCTGTGGGTGTGTATCTTCAAGTGTGCTTGTGTGTGAGCATGTTTAAGATAGTATTTGGTCTAAAAGCAGCCCAGAGGCTCTTCCTTTATCAGAGCAGTACAAAGCCAAGCCAGCCTGCTCTCATGCTATGAGGAGTATTTTCATGAACAAAAATCACATTTTTACTGTTTTCTATGAAAATGTGCTCACTAATATACACTATAATATGCTCTGTTACATGATAGAAGAACGTTTTTAAATATGTCTGTAAAGGTTTAATGATAGGTCGTGTTGCCTCTGTTATAACTCTAGCTAAAAGCCTTGTAATATACTTCTGTCCATGGCTGAGACTGAAACAGATATATGCCCCTCTCTCTTTCATCATTTCCCGTTTTTCAGCCACAGCTACATTTACACGGTATACCATTAGCCCGTACTCAGAGGAGCTAACAGCGGCAGCAGGAACATAATCAGGGAGAGATGTTCAAATAATCCATAACAGAATGAGCACATCCTAAAACCTACAGCTCAAAGGTTTAGACAAGTTATTTTTAGAGACCACCAGCAAAATGTAATTGCAGACATTTAAACTGTTGTAAATTGGTGGATTTGTCCTTCCAAAGATAATACATATAAATAACTAATACAATAATTATAGGTGTTAACTGTTTATTTGTTACAGAACAATTTAGAATATGAACATCCTTATTGTTTATTCCTTCTGCCTTTACACAGTTTATGAATATGAACTGTGCAGCTAAGAATTAAAATGCTTTGGCAAATATTGATCCTTAAAACTTAACAGTAATGAGACTGAAGCACTGAACCTACCTTTGCTCAGCAGTCATGCAGGTTCTGAGCTGGACGAACATTCTCAGAGAGGAACAGCTCCTGCTTCCAGCGTGCTCGTCTTAATGTGTGTGGGTCGCATCAACCATCAGCGGGTATTAGAACAGTCTGCGCCTGCCCATTTATTAACGAGAGAGAGTGAGGCAGAGAGGAAGGGAGGGTGAGAGAGGGAGGAAGAGAGAGAGGTGATGAGTGTTGGGAGAGAGAGGGTGGTCAGCAGCTTGAATGGAAATGTTAGCCTCTTTGCTGCCATGCGTTTTTGTCTCATGTTGAACGAATATGAATTATTACTGTTTGATATTAACAGCACTGAGCAAGAGTCAGAGATCCCCTTTCATTTATTTGATTTCCAGTCAAAACAGCTTTTAAGTGCAAGTTATTCATTTTCTCAGGAGATATTTCTGAGCAGATTAGATAGAAATAATCCACTTGCCTGAGGAAGAAGAATGTCAAAGGAGAATAAGAGTTGAACTGGAGTTCAGCTATAGAAAAAATGGGACTCCTAACAACCATGCAAGACCTCATCTTTGAGAGGGAAGGGGAAAATCAAGCTGCTTCACATCTGAAAAAATCCACAGGTGTTTCTGTCCGTCCTTCTACTGTGAGAAGATAACTCAGTGCTATGGGTCTGAAGGGATGTGTAGCTGTCAAGAATCATAAGAAGCAGAAAATGCAACTTCTATGAATGAACTTTAAAGGCTTTGAAGGTGTAGAAGAATATTTGTGCAGGTTGCTTCGAAAAAATGAAAGCAAGTCTCCTGAAAAGAATATAAGCTGTCAGTAAAGCAAAGGTTGGACACAAATAACGAAAAAAATTGATACTGTATTTAGTTATTGAGGCTTTTGTTTAATTCACTGTGAAATATATGCTTTTTTTCATGATCCTGAGAAATGACACACTTAATGGCCATTTTAACAGGAAATGAAATAAATAAAGGGTGGTTTCTGACTTTTGCACAGTATAGTAAGTCTGTTATTTTTGTTTATCCTTGACTGTGTTGGCTAAAATGATAAAAGCAAGCCTTTAACTTTCTGAACTGCAGGCTTATTATTCAGTTATTATTTATTATTTATTATTACAGTTATATGTTATCTTAAGGCATTGTATCCAGTAAAAAGCCTACTGTGAGTTACCTGGTAATCAGACTTCTATTCCATAACTACTAAATGCAGGTATGGGCCACTTACCCAGTTTTATTTCTGTTTGCACAAATAGCAATTGGAGTACAAATGTCTTTGGACCTGCTGGAGAGAAGATTCTGGGCCACGGCTAAACAGGTGAATACCAAACTCGTGGTGTTTCATACGGTGAAACCATGCACATTAACACGGTCCTGTATATTTACTCTTTACCTCAAAACATCTGTGAGTAATATAGCATATCTTTTCAAATGAACTGTGAAATGTTCATGCTTACTAGCTATATCTGATTTCACACACTAGTCATTTCTCCTCACCCTTCTTTGCTTCATTCTTTTTCTGTCTTTCCCTCTGGGCAGGCGAATAACACAGATGTAAGTATGCATCTCAAAGCAACAGTCTACCTCCTTCTTCCAAAATTGCACTCATTCTATTTTAAGATAATGTCTATTAGATCATATTTCAGATGTTACGCTGTACGTTACCTTGAATATAATATGTCCATTACAACATAGAAGAACCGATGTATTGCCATATGGATTCTAGTTATTAACTGTTATTGAGAGTTGCTAGTGAAAGTTTTCTTCCTCTTGTTCTTTGCAGTGCAGTAATGTGGAAGGTGTATGTCCACTCAGCTGTGAAAGTGTTGTGAGTACATCTTCCATTTATTTTTCCTCATTTACTGTGTTCATTTTAAAAGTAACCTTGCAGTTTGCGAAGGGGGGGATTCATAATAGGCTTTCAAAAACTGAAGAGTTTCATTACAAAATGCTGTATATTGGTTTGTAACAATTTTGAATATATATATTATATTTCTCTAATGAAGATGGTATTCATCATGATATGCGGACATATACAAAAGAGCGTGCCCATAGTCAAATTACACGTTTGATTGATTTTCTATGTGAAAGTATGTACACATCTATCGAGAAAACACTTATGCGCATTGTGGTGCACAGTTACTGTTTATTTAAGATATTCCAGCCAGGAACAGCATAACGTTTAATCGTTTTCCCACATTTTCTGCTCCAGTAACTTTGCTGCAGACTGTCTGCAGTAACCACACTCCTTAAGACTTCAACAGACAGGCTGAACTGCTGTACACTGAGTGGGTGGTCATATACGAACCTGTTTGTGGTTCTGACGTTATTTGAAAAAAGCTTTTGCCGCTTCATTTCCGTATGTGGAGTGGGGGACTGAATGTTGTACACACTTGTGCACATTTTAAAGCACAATTACAGTTTATTTAAGATATTGGAAAAATTACATCAAATATGGCCTGTGCAAAAGTTAGGGCACATGTTACTTTATGGTTTATTTTTTTTTACAATATGTTCAACTCAGCAAATAAATAGAAATTGTGCACAAACATCTGCAGAAAATGCCATATTTATGTTCTCTGTAGAGGATGTGTTAACTTATTTTAATTTAGAAAATACAACAAAACATGGCATTTGACGAGCTTTAACATATGATTAACGTTAAAGTAGCATTGATATTTCTTGTATTTGTAGATATATATTCCCAACAATGTAAATCCTGAAAAATAATAATTCCTTACAATAATAATGTTTACAAAAAACAGAACCCTTTAACTCTTTATTTCCTGCTTTAACATTGACAGGAAATTAATTGTTACCTGGTGGACAACAACGGCTTCACAGTGATGTCTAAGGACAGAGGGGATGTGAGTTTGAAACGCCTGAGAGTCCAGAGAGTCACATTTAATGATGTCATTTACATTTACACTTACACCATTTACACTTAGATGATCAGTAAGAATAGCACAGAATTTTGTGTTGACATTGATTTTATATGCATATACACAAATCTTGAGGGTACTGAACATGTTTAACAGTTTAATATTTTAAATATGATGATTAATATGATGTACTGCAACTCCATGATGTATGCAGCAACAGGGCACGTAACATATCTACGGTAACCGTGGGATTACTGCACACTTATGGAGCTTAATCCCAGCTTGATGTGGCATGGCTGGGGGCAGCACAGTGGGTCTTAGACATCTGTTAGCACATCTGTAGCAGAGAGCATTAGTGTGTGTATGTTTGTCTGTGGGGGGGTGGGGTGGGGGGTGCGTGTGGTACTGAAGTAGGTTAAGCATGAACACATTGAACTATTTCTGTTAGCACAGGTTCTAGCTCCATGCAGGTCTGTATCAGTGTTATGGCATTTGCTGGCCCCAAGCCCAGCTGCCCCACATCTGTATACACACCTGGGCCAGATTTACTAAATGTGTTTGGCTCTTATTAAAGATGTGCGCTGTAGCCGTATAGCTGAACATGAAACGAGTAGATAATCACTCATCACATAATCGCTATGTAATCAGAGCAAAGATGTGGTGGCAGATTGAGAGTCAACTATGCTTTTATATACATACACACAGAAACACAGTGAACAATTTGCCGTACATGCCTCACTGTATTCCCTCATCTGCAGATTGGAAAGTTCTTTGGAGAAATAGACGGCTCAGTGATGGCCCAGCTCCTCAAATCAGGCTTATATAAAAGGTAACTTGTCTTCCCTTATAATTATACTATACTATATTATACTATGCAGTTTTATCTCCTAAAATCACATGGGCTGCTTTGGCTACTGTGCCTTTAAGACTGATATATGTAAATTATCTATGTTCTGGTTGGCTGACCCCTTCCCTTTGCAGCTTCGTTTCCATATGTGGGCTGGGGGATTGAAGGTTATGTTTTGAAACTAGCAATGTTTACATAGTACATCAAACTCTTATTAAAAAAAACAAGGAAAATTTGCTTGACCATGATATGGGACCTTAAAATGAAACACAGTTCCTATCCTTCATTTATCCAGTGAAAACAACTATTAATTACAAGTTACAAGTTCATATTTCAGCATCAGAAAACAATCATATTTCACAGAAAATCACAAAGAAGCCTCAAGAACTATAGAATAATAAATGATTCAGTATTTAGTGTGTCAACACATTGACTTTATTACAGCTTCCATTCTTTTCAGGAGTCTTGGTTTCAGTTTTTCAAAGAAATCTGCAGGGATATTTTTTCTGTACCTCCAAAGTTCAGTCTTAGAAGTTGGTTGCATTTTCTGCTTCTCATAATCTGAATAAAGAGGTTATTCTTATATCTAATCTCCTCAGAAATATCTCATTTTAGATGCACCAAAAAGACATTTGAAGGCAGCTGAGGTGTGTTTGGGTAGTTCATTGTGTGAATGTTAGTGCCTTGTTGAAGGGTAACATAATGGCGGAGACTCCTTTGGGAACAGCTTTTGCTGGGAACAACTGTAACTCAGTTTGAATACTGCAAAGATGGAAGAGTTTAAGTGGCAGTAGATGCACAAAAGTAAAGAGTGAACAAATGAAAGATTTATACTTAGCGTTGGAGGCTTTTGTGTAATTTTCTGTTAAATATATGTTTCGTGCTTTTTTTCCAGACACTGGAAAATGAATTGTCTTTATTCCAAAATAATGATAAAAATGATCCTTTGATAATAATGTTTCTGTCCACAGGGTTGCTCTATATGACTACCAGGCCATGTGTAAGAACAGCCATCATCACTCCAGTGGAGCCCGGCCCCTGCTCAGCGTAGGTATCCGGCAGTACAGTCAGGAGAGCCCACTTATGCTCCATGAGATAATCATAAGAGTAGAATCCCTTCTGTTGGACCTCTAATATTCATACTGGGTCAGCACTGTTAGATTGGAGTAGACCTCTGAAGAAAGGAAACTCTTTGGGAGCAAGATGGGTCATTCATGCCACACATAAACATGCTATTCTCTTTGGTGTCATTCACAGTTACTGTTGTCATGGCAAACCATTTCAGCAGTTAATGTCTCTATGTTTCACTCTGCAGCCTTTCTATGGCCTGATGGCAGCGGTCAAGTGGCTCTTCTCAAACCTCATGCTGTAAGTCCTGATTCCAGATCCTCAGCAGCTTTTCTCTGCATGAGACTGGGCTATTTAAACTTTTCTGATATAATTTTTTCCTCATTGAAAATTTACTGCTTTTAGGTTTTTGTTGGAGTTCAACATATGTGGACTGTGGCATAATGACTACTTTGCAGATGGTAGGTTATAGCACTGAAAGCATGGTATTATCACAACCTGTATTTCATCATGATATGACGAATGATGAAACCCCCTCAGACCATGTAAACATCACCATTCTGTTGAACTGCCTCCATAAAACAACCATGCTGTGTTATCCCATGCACTCTGCCTTTCTCATTTCATGTCATTTCTGCATGCTCCCCTCATCACTACCTCACTGTGCCTTTGCCTCTGCTGCCCACCGTTCCTGTTTCTCATTGTGTCACAGCCAAGTCTACATACCATGCTAGTAAGTATTTTTAAAGGTTTTGAGTATTAACTGTAGGTTTGTATACATTGTATACTCTTTTGATTTGGTGCCGCTTTAAATTGGTGTTAGCTGAGGCCTATTTAAAGCATCTGTTACGATCCAGACTTAAATCCTTGACTTGCAATATAGTGTTGATTAAACGTGCTAATGCCTTGTTTAATACCTTAAGATTTAGTCATGATTTAGAGGATCCAGACTTTCTTGGCTTACATACCAACATGAGAGTTACACACATGAAGAATCATTGAAATTGGGGCCATTCCTTACGAACACATCTAGATTAAGCACTTCACTGCAGTGCATTATGTAAGGGCAATTCACACTGAAAGCACTGCTGAAGATTTTTTGGTTGTCCATCTTATGGAACAGAGTTGTATGCAAAATTTTGGGTGCCTCGGTCAAATTACGTTTTGTTTTGTAAGTGAAAATAAGTTAACACTTTGTCTACAGAGAACAAACTTCTGCACATGTTAATGCAGTGTTAGTGTTTCTCTGCTGAATTTAATATATTGGGGGAAAAAAAAACTTAAAATGTGGCCTGTGCAAAAGTCAGAGCACCTTTTATATTGTATTTCTTAATTTTAAACATACAGTATCATATACAATATGTTAAACTTAGCAAAAAAAATAGAAATTGTACACTGACATTTACAGAAAAAATGTTACATTTACATTTATTCTCTGCAGAGGATTAATTTATTTTCACTCTTGTTTTAATCAGTGCTACAGTCCACAGCAGTCTTACATTCGCCAATTTATTTGTTTAGGACTAATTTTTTTTTTTACCTTGCTTTTGTGAGTGGAATGTACGCTTGTCTGAAATCCATAAAAATCACTATTTTCTGTAGTGCATCTACTACAATGTTTTAATCTTCTTGGCCTAGTAGCACAAAACCATTGATTTTGATTTCATTGCAATGAACAGGTCTTCTATTTGTGTAATCAGATATTTATACCAGCTATAAAACCTTTTAATTTTGTAAAAAAAAAGAAGGAAAACAAAAACTGATATACCTACCTGGAGCGGCGGTGCTAACTGGTCACTTGCACTATGCTTTAATGTCGCTAACGTGTCTGGTGTGAATTCAGCGTTAGCATATTAGCATAGTAGATAAATCATATCAGTGGAACGTCATCTGATTTGCTTGTTACTGTTGTTTTATAGCCAGAACGTTTCATAAAGATATGCCTGTAGAAAAAGTAATTGTTTTTTCATATCATTGTTTCATCAAACCTGACTGCACATCTAACTTCCAGCGCACAGACAGAAGAAGGTGGAGTCCATGGTGCCCTGCAACACAGAATACCCTGGATTCATCTACGACACCACCATCAGGGAGACCAACAGCATTATCAAATGTGGTCGCTGTCAAAAGTGAGTCACTGTGCCAAGCAGTCCAGAAGTTTCCAAATCAGTCCTTGATGACCTCCAGACTTTTAATTCCTGGAATACCTGAGCCAGAAAAAGAAGTACTGGTTAGTCTGGAGTGATGGGCTGGCTGGGATTCAATAAAAACAGGGTTAAAAACCAATAGTCATTTCCCCCTAATAATTGTTAGTAATGATGATTAAATTAATAGAAATTAATAGAATAATAGATTTCTATACATTATTAATGTTAATGCATTATGTTAAAGGGCCTGTATCATGGATAACCATATTGTTATTATTGTTATTATTATTTTATCAAACTACAAATACATAAATATTGAAATAAGACTTTTGATGTAGTATGTAAACATTATTAAAGTTTCAAAAGGTATCATTCACTCCCCAATCCATGCAGTTCATATGAGGAAACTAAACTGCAAAAACAGCCAGTTTGGAATTCAATGTTTTTGTGATGTTATACATTCGCCTGTTCAGCCTACAGCAGTCTAGCCTCACCTGTTCATGCTGTTAGGAGTGTTCCAGCCCAGACTGATTTAAATGAGGCACAATTCAGCGGCAAATCAGAACAGAGCTCATTTACATATGCACTATATGGCCAAAAGTATGTGGATGCCCCTCCTAATTGTAGAATTCAGGTGTTTGCCAAACTCATTGCTAACAGGTGTATAAAATCAAGCACATAGCCATGCAATCTCCAATCTCCTGATTTTGCAATCTCCGTTGTGTTGAAGTGCTCTCTTGGGGTTAATGCTTCTTGTCCTTGTGTTCCAGGATGTTTGTGCTTCAGCAGGTTATGAACAGTAACCTGGTGATGCTTGTGGTACAAGCGGACTGTGACTGTTCCCGCCAGTTCGCTCCCATCACCCTCACCCCGAGAGAAGTCAAATATATCCTACACATCACTTTACAAACAGCAGTTTCCTTTGTGTCTACAGGCCGGATTACAGATGATGATGAATGTCTTTCATGCAGCTCAGAAATTGTCAAACTGACATTGTGTTTTCTGTCAGGAGATGGTATTTATGTAGTTCTCATTTATGCAGTGTTTTGTATTCACAACTAAATGTTCTGTGTACCGGAGATTTTTTTCTTTCATCATGAGAAACTATGTTGGTCTTTGGTCGCTTATATTTTGTTCTTCGTGTAGAGGCTTAATTTTATAGCGTAAAGGATAAGAGTCACGTTTGGCTTTTATTTTAGTGCCTGAAGGTGCTGTCATGCTACACTGCACAAAAGCAGAGTTTTCTCTTTACTACTTAGCTCACATCTGACTCTCTGCTCGCCACACATAAAACCCCAGACAGAAATAGCCCTGCACTCCACAATAAGAGTCCTTAGCAGAATAACCCTGTGCATAAATGCTGAAGAACAAATAATCTAAAACCAATGTGCGAAACATTTATTGAACACACTACAATGTATAATTTTGATGTGACTGGTCTAGCGACGTATTTACATTTTCAGAGAAGGCAAATAATATTTAACCGAAATTTCCTGAGAGGGTGACAGAAGAAAGACGACAACACAAACAGCATAACAGCATAACATATTGTAATTGTTAACAGTTACAGACAGCCCCTCTGGTTTTCAACTTTTGGTGATGTTTCTGTCGATAGTGTCCACAAAAAGAATGAGCTTCAATCCTGCTGAAAAAAAGCATGGCCCAGTGCTGATTTAGCTTGTCACCCAGCATGGTCATACTGGTTGACCATCATACCAGCATCCAAACGCAACATATGCTGGTTTACTTTCTTTTAAAACGTTCTTTGAATCTGTTGTGAAACCTTCAGACTTGAAGTGTTTTGAACACTCTTGTTCTGATTACACCTGATGGCATGTTTGGGTTGTTTATAGCAGCCAACCACTTGTTACCTCTTTCACAGTCCTCCAGTGGTTTGTGATAAAGACTGACCTTTTTTCCTGCACGTTCTTCAACAACACAAGTCAGCATTTTGACTGACTGTGTAAATATGTTTATTAATTTTATAGAAAATGCAGCTGTATCAAGAGGAGTGATGCAAACTCACAGTAGATGAAGGAGCATGGCTATGCCAGGCAGTGCTGATTTAGCCATGCCCCTCTAAGCTGAAACAGTGCAAATGAACTCTGGGAGATGTAGGAATCAAGGTTTTTTTAGGTTCTACATGCTGAAAAGATGATTCCTCAATGGTTCTTTAGTAAAGCCAGTGGTCCTACAAAGAACCATGAACACTCATAGAACCATTTGCATGCTTAAAGGGTTCTTTGCATCATGAAAGGTTTTTTTCAGACTGATGGAGAATGTGTTGTATATGATTCTATATGAACCATTTTGAAAAGGGTTCTGTATAGCACCATGAAAGGTTCTACTATCGATATAGTGTCAGGCTAACTATACAACAACCCTTTTGAGTACTAGATAGAACCTTTTCAAAACACATTCTCTATCAAGCTGAAAAACCATTTCACCATGTAAAGAACCATTTAAGCATGCATATGGTTCTTTGAGCATGCATAGTTCTTTGTAGAACCACTGTCTTTACTAAAGAAGCCTTGAAGAACCATCTTTTTTAAGACTGTATGATGAAACTGTTCAAAGTCTAGGATTACATGCCGAAATATCCAGATTTTTGTTCTGAATGTTTATTTAGAGAGCTGGAAAATGGATTAAGACTATTTGACAGTGTGACTGTTCGCCTTCGATCCTGGATCTTGTGAGATTTTAGTTTTTCAGTTTAAGTATATGTGTGCAGTCTCGTGGGAGGTATTGGCCTTAACTCCTTTGAACATAATGCCACAGTGAAATGTAACAGGATGAAGTCCCAGAAGATCCGCAGACGCCCCGAGTCCTGCCACGCATACCATCCTCATGTAAGGCTTCATTAGTTATTACAGTTTATATCCCTTAACTACATTTAATGACTCCAGCTGTACTTATAAAATGAACTACACTGCTATTTCCTGAACACAACAACAGAAAATATAAAAAGCTCATATATAGTGATTATAATAGATTTAATTTTGTCCTATCTTTGGCACTTGCAGTGGTGCTATATTCTACGATGTAATGCGAGTTTTAAAAATGTCCAACTTTTCTCAACCACAGGAAAATGCAAAGGACTGCGGTGGAGCATGTGAGATATCCATATCAGTGGCTCTCTTCTTCATATCCCTGGTCACATCACTGGCTCTTCGCTGATGAGAAAAGACAAGCATCCCTCTGCTGTGACTGCTAGGGACCCTGAATGTCTTAGATCACTTCCTCAGTGTCTGTGAAACAGCTGGCTTCTGTTTAAGAAGAATCATTGGTGAACGGGACATTATTATGGATCAGCAACAGTGGATCTGTAGCATTAGGAATTCAACCGAAAATGTCTGTTTTTGCTCTTCCAAGCCAAATCTGCTTCTCTTGCAGCAGTAGGGAGTTTGAGAACATGAACTATTTCATGAACATGAACTATGTGTTCTGGGTGTATTTCATAGGTGACTGCAGCTGTGTGAAAGCCTACCAGCTATTAAACCGTGTGTCACTCATCAAAATTCTAGGACCTTGTTCTTCATAAAGGAATTATTATAAAAGAATAGATTTTCTTTCCTTCCAGAGAAATGGCAATAAAAGTAGCTGATTTCAGTTTACACCAGAAATGTGGTTTTCTTTGATGGTCTTAATGCCAGATTACAGCTTGAACCTTGAGTCACTGAGCCATTTCAGAATAACCTCTTACACTATAAAACACCAACCTGAAACATAAAACACCAACCTGAAACACGTTCCTTCAATTCAGAATCCAAAATGTCTTCTGTTCAGTTTGACATAGCGCAAAGGAGATGATCACAGTGGCCCAGTTTTAATCGAATTCTCTGAGCTCATGTGTGTGATCACATTTTAAGCTTTTTCAAATTTGTGTCTTTTAATTTTTAAAAGAATTTAAAATGCAGGCATCTCAGTTTCTCTAATGATCTAGCCAACAAAAGCAGACACAGTCATATGCGAAAGTTTAGGTGGTCAAATGACATTTTGTTGATTCTGTAAGTGAAAATAAGTCTACACTCTGTCCTCTACAGAGAACACGCCTCTGCACATTTTAAGACTTTAATAATTACTGTTTATTTGCTGAATTTACATTTTGGAAAGAAAATAAATCATAAAATGTGGCTAGTGCAAAAATTAAGGCACATTTTATATATGTTTTGACTTTTGAGGTGTTGACTTATTTTCACTTGGGAAAATCAACAAAACATATAATATGACCCGAAGTGTTAAAACTTTTGCACGTGAACAGATTACAGTGCACTTTTCTTGACATAATAACGTTTTCATTGGTCAATATACCAACGTTTTGTGTTTTGAAAATGAAAAATATTTTCAATTTTATGAAATTAATCTTTTAATCTCCCTTAATTTGGTAATGTATCCCAGGGGAGTCTACTACATGACACTTTAAAACACATGAAATATTTGTATGTTTTATTTTTTATGTAATTTAGGCCTATGTAATCACCAGCAGCACAGGGGGCCCTATCACTTCTCGGTGAGACTGAATAACCAGTTGCAGATAACATGAGCCAAGCCATTTAACACATGCGCTAAACAGATGAAAGTGATCATTTATTGCATGATTGTGTAAAACCTCTTGCACATCTCTTATGAAGGAGAATGTATGCTATGTTTCACGCTGCCTCTTTAAGTTAAAGAACACATTATGTCAGAAGAATCATTCAGCTAAGTGAATCAGTGAGATGAGCACAGATATTGAATTAGTAGTGATTAATGTGTAAAGAGAGACTGTCCTCTCTTCAGTGAGGTGATGTAATAGTAAGACTGTCATCTAGTGGACAAACCCTTTCAGTGCATTTTAACACTGATGCTTTGATTTTTGTCAGGAGCCATGAAAGACTGAGTTATGACATTTAGCATCTATATTTTTGTTTTTCCCAGTAAAAACCTCATATATCAAACTGCATGCATTTCAGCAGTTGTATTCCAAAGAAAGAAGGCATTAATTTATGACAACAGCAGTGATTTAACTTAATAGCCTCACAAACTACACACAGACAATATGAGTTTCAAGAATGTTTTGTACGATTTATTGATGACATTGTTTTATTTCGAGGCCGGTGCTCTCTTCACTCTGCTGGGCAGTGGAGGAGCATTGCTTCGGGTCGCCAGTTACATGGCCTCATGCGGAAGGGCCGCAGCCGACGGGTCACCAGTTCCGGGGCAATGGCTTTTGGAGGGGGGATTGGCTGGGAGTCGGGAGATGTGGGAGGAGCCGGAGGAAACGCTATAGTACGGCTGCGCCGCACGGCCTCACCTTCTACCGTCACGTCCAGCGAGCTCTCTTGTAGTCTACGTACAGGAGCTACAGCCTGGAACAATATGGACTTCTTGGGCCTGGATCTGCTTTTTGGCGGATGGGGCTTCGTTAAACCAGCCTCACCATCCTCGCCTGGTTTTTCCTTATTTGGCGCTGCACTCACCACTTTCAGCACAGGGGGCTTCACAGGAAGTCTGGTGCTTGTGCTAGTGCTAGTGGTGGTTCTGGAGGGTAGCCCTCGGCAAACAGTCGAGTTTCTAGCTAAACCCTTCAGAGGCAGCGGTGGGAATATGGTGGGACTTGAATAATTTGGTGGCTTCCTCACTGGTGTGGGTTCTTTTTTCTGAATGTTTGGGAAAAAAGAACCACTTCTACACACAGTAGGTCCACACACAGTGCCAGTGGAATCAGGGGGGACCCGTGCCAGCATCAGCGGCTTAAGCCGCTGCTGTTTCTTCAGCATTGGGAAAAAACGCTGCATTTAGCGTTGGTGTACTTTCTTTTCTACTCTGTGGTCTTTGACAGAAAAGAAGATGACCGCGCTGGACCTGTATTTATAACCTCGGTTCTCCCGTGACGTCATCGACATGCCCATATATGGGCATACCCATCGATGACGTCACAATCTAATTAGGCACGAGACACAAAACTAGGCACAGTGGGGCGCGTGGAGTGCAGTGATCCTACCCCAGTTAACGGGAGTTTTTGAGGAACGAATCAGAATGAAACACAAAATAACACGATGATTGCCTATTTTTATTTGTTTTAATAATGCTTGTAATAAATAATTCTAATGCCAAGCAATGTGTGTTAACAGTATGCTGTGGTTTCCGAGCACCAATGCAGACTTTGAGTAATGTGTGGTGATTTGTTTATTTCCAGTATTTCACGCCGTTGGCTTTGATGATGGCTCAGCCAATCAGATTTACAGCCGGAGCTATCCGTTTAATGATTCGCGTAAAAAGTTCTGACATCATCGTATCTAACATTTAGCTTCAGTATGTAAATAAGCTACATACGTATTTAGATTATGAGGCTCTGTGAACAAAAGCGTCACAGCCACGAGTTTAAACACTTGTTTGTCTCCAGCTTCGTCATCGTGCCATCTTAAATGGTCAATTCTGGCGCATGTACCATTTAAGGTGGAATGGAAATTTCGAATAAGAAACTGTTGAAATAGGAAGCCACGTGAGTTAAAGCCAAAGTCACTAAACTCTGAAAAGCATCACAAACTCGCACAAAGACAAAAACGCGCCGTTTGACTCGTTACACTAACATCTGTCGACATAAAAATGACTGCAAAAACAGTCTGAATGTTTAAAGAGTTTGTCGTTCGTTTTTACCATACTTTTAGTGATTTAGATTTGTTTTAACATTTGTTGTTTTTAAAAAATATTATAATAATAATAATTATTATAATAATAATAAGAAGAGGAAATGTAATAATAAGAAGAAGAGGAAATGTAAGATGATGAGAAAGAATAAACTGTATTGTTATTGTTTTTTCATTTTAGGTTAAAAATTAGGATTACTATTCTTCAATAATTTACACGTTCATGTCAATAGATTTGATATCTTTGATATCTTGATATTTTGGTACTTTGGCACACGTGTTGAAGGCCAGTCTAGAAGAGTATGTAATTTATAATTTCTTTTATAATTTCTATGATGTGATGTGATGCACCTCAAATCGAAGACACAAAACGAAATTCACATAGAAATACTGTAGAATTGACTAGAAAAAGATCTTCTTATGATTACAGAAACATGAACACAATCAAGAGAACAGATTAAAATGGTGAAAAATCATCTCTTCAGGTCAACCATCAGGTAGCATCACCAGAGATCGAACTCGCCATCTCCTGAGGATGGATTGCACCACTTGGCAGCCCCTGGCCATTCTCTGTTGACCTCTCTCATCAATAAGATGTTTCCATTTGCATGCATTCACTGGAAGTTTCTTCTTAATTGCAGCATTCTGAATAAACCCTAGAGACCGATGTGCATGAAATCCCAGGAGACCAGCGGTTATAGAAACACTCAAACCAGCCTGTCTGGCACCAACAATCATGCCATCAACAAAACCAATGAGATCACAATTTTTACCCATTCGGATGGTTGATGGTTCACCATTGGCTGATTAGATAATTGCCTGAATGAATAGGTGCAGGTGTTCCTAATAAAGTGGTCAGTGAGTGTATGGGTGTATCTCTAGTTCTGTAGTCAGTTTACTGCCCAGTGAATCAGCCATTTTCAGTGGTGTCTCATTGTCAAAATCTGCACTGGAACGTTCATTCCCTGAAATTTCCCACAATGCACCGTAAAAACTAGTAAGCATTGAATGTTCACTATGCTCCCTGACCGGAAATAGCATCACGCCGAATTTCAGGAACTTTTTAAATTACTACTACTACTACTACTATTAATATTAGTAGTATAATAATTTTGTAGGTAGTTTGACCAGAGGAGGATGGGTCCCCCCTTGTGAGCCTTGGTTCCTCCCAAGGTTTCTTCCCCAGCTCTGAGGGAGTTTTTCCTTGCCATTGTCGCCCCTGGCTTGCTCACCTGGAGGATTTACATTTTATGTTAAAACTTTGTCTTTAATGGATTTCTGTGAAGCTGCTTTGTGACAACATCAGTTGTAAAAAGTGCTATACAAATAAATTTGACTTGACGACTTTAAATGGAGGACAAAAGCTGTATGTTATCTCATCTGCCATTTCACCTGGGAAAAAATTATATTTTGTGTATTTTTGACACTTGCGAATAAAAAAGCCTACCAACAATAAGGGTTTTGGTCTAGCAAGCCACTTTATCACAGTTGGTCTTTCATTATCAGCTTTCTACTAACATTAACTGAAACATTCAGCTAATTTAGCTAACCCATTCAACTTAAACGCTTTACCACAGTGTTTGCCACTAGCTACCACATGCTATATACAATGTAATAACACAATAGAACTCACTGTCTTTCTAAAACTATTGCACTTTATTGCTCATTTTATAAACAAAGCATTAAAGTAGCCTGACCTGCTAACAGGCTAACTAGGCCCCTTCAGAAATATTCAGTTATAGACTTTACCTTAAAGTCTTTACTGAATGGACCAGATGTAATGTTACTGAAATGTTAGATGGATGTCTATTTAGTTTTCAGCTGACTGCTTTCTAGCCACAGCAGCTATGAATTTCTCAAGTGAACCATAGTTAGCTAGATGCTAGTGATGCTAACGGAATTAATGTTTATGCTAGTGGTGTAAATTGCCTGAAAAAAGGCTTAATTTTATTAAACATTCCTATGTTTACCTGTGTTATATTTCAGATAGGGTCTCGGTGTAAAGAAAATGAGAGTGTTTATGAAATAACTGGAATATTCTATACTAAATGACAGCATGGCAAAACACAGCACAGTAGACTAGCTTCCCAATCCATCTCGT